ACTAGTATACGTGTTAGGAAAACAAACGTTGAAAGTATGACCTCAATTTGTTTAAAAAGATGAAGTGACACCATAGGATGGTCACACTAAAATGCTAGACATTGTATACACTTTCTCCACTCCCTGGGGAGCATTCCAGCAAGAGCTACTACGCTCAAAATGCTAAGCATACTATATTGGCTTCCACCATGGTTTTTTTATTTTGTATACGGACGTCACAATGTTTTTGTTTTGTTTAGCTTTCTTGTTTTTTTACACAGACGACACGTCGTCAACCGACGTCGTAGAAATTGGACCACGAACCCCGTGCCCCCAACCAGGTGGTGGAAACAATGAAGAAGAAGGGGAGGGAAAGGAGAAGAAAAAAGGAAGCGCCAAGATCTAAATAAAAATTGTGTCTTAAAGTGGTTCACAAGAGAAATCATTCAAATTTAGATTTTGAGCGGGGAAGGGGGGGGGGGGCAGGTGTCTGATTCGAAGTGAAACAATATGAGATATTAAATAAGGACGTGACCATGTGACCTAGAAAAATTAATAGGGTTACGAAACAAATCCATTGTCTTTGAAAATTCAGAGCCACGGCAGGTCACTATTCGTCATTTGGAGTATGATTGATTTATGGGCCAAGGGGAGGGTGGTGGGGGCGAATTGGGTTAGAGAGTTTTAATTAGGTTATTATCTTATCATTGTTGATTATGATATATTTCCTTTCTAGCGTCAGGAGAACATGAGCAAATATTTTCATTGTTATAGGTTAAAGGACAAAGAAGGCCTACAATTATATTTTAAGAAATATTGTATTAACATTCCAAGAGATAGAGAGAGAGGGGGAATGACGGAGTGAACCAGTGAGAGAGAGATATAGATAGATAGATAGAGAGAGAGATAGATAGAGAGAGATAGAGAGGGAGAGAGAGAGAGAGAGAGAGCATTTACATTTACTCGGATAATTTAGTTTTATAACGATAACGTAGGCCTAATAGTAAATCCGTTATACATTTACGATTCGTCTTGTACTGTGATTTAATGATTAAGAGCTACGATTGTCCCATGCAGCAGGGGCTGTTTTGATTTTTTTTTTTAAATCAAAGGGACCTATAAATTAATTTTGCTGAACGAGTAGAAGAGAGGTAACGGCTGTAGTGACGAAAATAGGCCTATATGTCCGCTTTAATTCATGCTCGTCGGTATATCATCGAGGCATTAGTGACTAATCAAAAGTGTCATAATATCTCTAGGCCTGGTGGCCCCTTAGGAACTATTCCTAGTGTTAATCACAGCTTGGACCATTGCAGCTTGGATTATCATTTTGGCTGACACTTTTTCTTGGACAGCAGCCCTGTCCGATACACGCAATCATAGTATTGGCGGGAGAGAGAGAGAGTGAGTGTGTGTTTGTGTGAATGTCGTATGCTACTTGTTGCTTTGCTTCCGCCGAAGACACCTTCCCGGTGCGTTTAATGGCACCTGAGTTCTGCAACGTGTGCGTAAAGGCTATGGATTACTGCGACTATGACGGCAGATCTTAGATCATCCACTTGTATGCCCACAGGACCTTATCGCGAACCTGACAAAATGGAGATATACATGAATTTTAGCAAGAACGGGAACCACCAGGTAGGTATCTATAGAAAGAGGTGCATCCATAGATGCATGTTGTCATTGGTTATATCTTATGTGACGTTCTAACGGTGGTTTTGATATGATGCATTACCATATTTCATTCTAATAGGGATGAAAATTAGACCTATCATCTCGTATCTCTTACTGTGCGAGAAGGGTTTCAAACACAACGAATCTCAAAATAACACATCTAATATCAATGGAAACATCGTTTTGTTGTTATTTGTCACATTCCAATGTTTTGTTACTGTATGTCCTGCAATTCTTTTTGTCTCTGTTGCTGAGGTTGTAAGAAGCAATTTTATCCGAAAATAGAATGGTCGTATCATATCAATTACACCGTTTAGACTCACCCACCCATAACCATCCTTCCCTTGTAACATTACCTCCCACTAATAACCTCCCTTGCATGAATTAGTTTTCTGATGAATCTCTACCCCTATTTCTAGGTATGGGCGTACTGTAAGCCCAACTCGAAGTCTGCAGTGACCACCGGGAGAAATGCGGGGAGAAATGGAGGAAAGTTTCTTGGCACTCTTCAAAAGGCGGTGTCTTCTCGATCTCTGTCCGAAGATCCTGAGACATCTAGAAGAGATGAAGAGAAACAGACGAAGAGTAAAGTATGTAACTTGTGACATTCTTCCGCTGCTTCATCTGCCTAGCTTCATCGTTTGCTTCTCTGCAGTTTGTTTTATTTCGGACCCTTCTGGGATTAGCTGCTACCGCATCATCATCATCGTCACCACCATCATCCTGCTTCTGCTGTGTTTCATTGTGTGTCACTTTGTGTCTTCTTTCCTCTGCTTGCTGTGCTAAAATCATTCTCATCATGACTTGTTATCATCAAAATATTATAGGGATTTCTGTGAAAGTTCTTTGGTCAGTATTTACAAAAGAAAAGATTGGCATGTGTCCATTTTTTTTTTTTACAGATGGTGGATAGATATGGCTGACCCATGGGGCGACGAGTTGCCTCCTCCCGTTATGGAATAAAAAATAATATTTGCTTTTTATTGTGTATGAGTCACATTGACAGGAAGAGGTCCATTCGCATTAAAAAAATATATATTGACTCGAAATGAAATGTCGATGTTGTCATGGATATGTCGATATAATTCTTCCAACATTTTTTGCTCGTAAATTGAAAAGCTGCATATCTTAGATTTTATACCACTAATTTTATTTTATGTTGTCATTGCCCAACGTACAGACATAACTTTCAAGTTAGATCATTTGATATACATGTAACGTTACGTTGTGGGTGGAAAACAATTATATTGCGTTCAACAAAAGCATTATACAAGCATGGATTAAACTCATTTATCAAAATGTCATGGTAATCGTTGACGTCGTCGTCGTCGTCGTCATAGTAGTAGTGAAAAAGAAAAACACATCTATAATTCATTTGACCTAAATTATACGTCTTTAATTTTAGAGGAGCTGTTTCAATTAAAATATTAAAATGTACATTAATATGGTTTGCCTAATGACGTCACGATACTATGCACATTAAAAAGACTATTTTATTGATGAATTTCACCCTCCAAATTCCTTTTAAGCCGTTGATCTTTACATCGGGATATCCAACCTTGCTGAATGATAACAAGTTTTCATAAAGATACATTAGCTTCAATACCACCCAGTTCGAATTATTTATACATTTTAGATTAAGTGAATGGGCGAGCAGGGTGGTATTTAGGTAACCTACGTCATACTGTTAGCGGCCAGACGAAAGAATATGTTTGATAGTAATCACTTCCGGATCAACGATATTTGAAACGGATTAGATTATGATGCATAACATTAAAAACTTAATCTAATCCATTATGGACAACGTAACGTGGTCCTTAGCATAACTTCAAGGGTAGAGGGGGGGGGGGGGGGGGCACCAGTCTTAATCGGTGGTTGAAATGCAAATACAAATACTCATGGGGGAGGTGGCCCGGTGAAAGATGGAAAGCGGGGAGCTTTGGAGGGAGTGGTGTTTGCGTTGAGGGTGTTGGACTTATTATAAACTCGGGCTTTCGATGAAGAAAAAAAAAACCTTTTAGTCATCCACTGTAGAATTGAAGTAAGCTGAGGTTTTAAGTTAGCTATGATTATAACGTTTAACATATGCGACATTCTTTAATGTATCCAGTATATGTAATAATGAAGTGATTTTGAATTGTAGAAATTTATGTTTATACCTTGTGCATGATTGCTTTTTTTTTCATATTTGTACAGAATATTGATTTCACTAAATGAAAGAAGTTACAGAATATTTATTTAATAAAAAAAGTGGGGGGGGGGGGGGGGGGGTTGTAGCGTCTTTTTTTGCATAAATAAAGTACAGTGATTATATATCTGTATTATTACAATGACCCTTCTTTTGGACAAATACGACGTTCACCTCTATTGAATAGCTTTGTCTAGCTGACCGACTTATATTATTGTCGAAATCATTTAATTTCGCATCTTATGATCTGGTTAGAACAACGGAAATGCCTGTTTAAAGACAAATTATTTGTATACCTCCTCTCTTAATATAAACTATTATATTCATTCATCGAATCATTGTGATATTTTTAGAATTTGTAAAAAAATTATGCCTACAAACAATTGTCCATTTTATATATATAAATAATGCTGGCAGTTATCCAAGTCTGAGGAAAACTTGATACTTTTGTATAAATATCTCCCCCCCCCCCTGCATTGCTTTGAAAGTACAGAATATGTGGTTGCCAATAACTAGAGATAAAATATAGTTTTAAATTAACATATGCTTTGAAGACGAGGAGCAACATGGATGCGTTGACCATCTTCAGAATGCGAGAGGGGGGGGGGGGGGCAATACGAGAGGATACTTTCTTTAACACACAGCCAATGGGACGTGGGGGAATCCTTAATTTAGCATGAGGGAATGAGAGAACTTAGTAGTCAACTGGGTAATGGTAATGTAAAAAGTTCACTTCGTTTCAGAGTTGAATAGAATCCGAAATTCTGGTGGAATCCATTTCACGATTCTTTGGATTTGTAAGAGTACGTGGGTTCTCCTATAATGCGCGTTAATTCCCGTCGACCAAAACAAAGAGAGAATTTAAGATCAATTAAGAACATCTGAAATGTATCAAATACGATCAGGAAATGTACAAATTTTGATTGTCGGTACCCCTACATGCCTCATTGAAACAAACATTATGATGCAATCATCATCCGAAGTATTCCTGTTTCTCTTCTGTGCAGCCCCATTTAATTAAAACAATGACACAAAAATAATTATGACTAAGAGAATTACAGGCAGCTAGCTGATAAAATATGTTCTTTTATTCTCTCCCTGTCTCTGTCTCTCTCTGTCTCTCTCTGTCTCTCTGTCTCTCTCTCTCTCACTCTCCCAGCCTCTAATGAACGAACACAACCAGAACAGCGACACCAACGGAGGCCCCAAGTTTCACCAAGCAAACATGGTCAAAGACGTTGAAGATTTGAACCTGGACAACAGAGATCCCATCAATATGACGTCACATGTCAGGGTAACATTCAAATTCAAATTCAAATGTGTTGATTAAAATTCAAACATGAATGATCATTCTCAATTTTCAGATAAATAAAAGATACGAAAAAAAAAATCACATTAAGAAGAATAGATCTTTCAGAAGTATCGTAGGCGAATCTCAGAGAGTGAAACGGCCGAATCGGCTGCAGAATCGAGAAAGGAGGTGAAGGATGGATAAAGAGCCTTTGGAGGACCAGTGAGATCCCCGAAATCATATCCCCCCCAAAACATCACACCGAGCAAAACATTTCACCTCCTCCTCCAGTACGTCTCTCTGAGTAGTTGGTGTAATTATTAAGAGTTAATAATCGGGATGGGGGGGGGGGGGGGGTGGGACAAATTGTCCTGTGTCGTTTACCGGGGGGAAGTGGTCTTGATACGATTAATGAGTCCCGTCTCGATATGTGCTTACTATTAAACTGTAATTTCGTTTTCTATTTTTAATGTAGAGACAAAATTAATTATTTCTCTCCCGTCTCCCCCTTTCCCTCCTCCTCATCTCTCCATTAATATTTTCATTTCTCTCCTATCGACTCCCTTCTATCAGGGGCCCGTTTTACAAAACTTATTATCTATAACACATGCTAGATTTCTATGACAAATTTGCTCTTAGCCAATCAGATGCCATGATTTCTGTAGCTTGTAACAGTAGCTTGTAACTTGTTATTGATATCAAGTTTTGTGAAAACACCCCCCAGATCGGTTTTGAGGAAGTGTTTGCCGAGCCGGATCATCAGCAGAGCTTTGATGCGGTCTGGACAACCAGCTTCATCGTATATACACAGTCTAAGATCTGGTGTTATCGACTACTCTCAGCTGCTCTGGCCATTCCACTCGCTCTGCTGTGGGGTAAGAATAACTCTAATGCCTTAAAGCCCCACTGCACTGGTTTGTCCAGGAGGGACTATACCTCCCTGCATGGTCACTGATAGGTGGTTATCTCATCAAATAAGCTTTCAATTAACACGAGAAAAAGGGGACCATGGGGGACCAATTTATGGTTACCGATTATGCATTGTTTGCTATATAGAAGGCGCAAGTAGCTATAAGTAGTGCAGTGGGGCTTTAATGGGTAAATGTTGGCAGTTTCTCTCTAGCTCTCGTCTGGTGACAGAAGTCATCTCAGAGCATTGGTAGACCATCCTGCATAGAAGCAGGGCTCGGATCATTATTATCGTGTTAGCAAAAATGTTCAACGAAGATTTGAAAAAAAAATCATCCTCAGATTTTCTAATTTCCTGATGGGGCATTAACAAGTCTAACTGTTTCAATGGCGAAAAGCTGGCGAAAAGCTGGTGAAAATACCAACAACAACAACAACAACAACAACAACAACAACGGCGTTCCAACTATCATTTTCCAACAATTACACCATAATAGTGACGATGAAGTTTTAAAGAATAAAATCAAATCGGGGAGGAAGTGATGTAAATTTTCATTTTGCGAGTTACCTTATGCGAAACTTGAATATAAATGGGCGTGCCGTCACAAGGGCATAGTTACAGCGCCGATTCTCTGAAACCTTTCGCTTATACAGATTAATCCCCCATCTGTTTCTATTTTCTCCATGAAGCACATCCATTTTACCAACATCGCTACCGCTGCTGTAAAGTTTTTTTTCAATAGTCCCAACTTTCCGTGAAGGCGTACATAGAGAGATTACTGGTTCCTGTACCCCAGCACCATCACATACGGGTAATGCAATTGGTGATGCATTGTGGGGGCATGGCTGTCGACACATCGGTACATTGTGAGCAGCAGATGTCAGTATAAGTAAATCTGAATTCGAGTCAGTAACATACGCTGCCTTCAGGATAAAACTTTATTGGCCTAAGAAGGTATAGGTTTAACTATTTAGCAAGGTCTCCCTCTTTCACTTATTCCCCATCTTTCTATACCTATTTGCCATGCAGGTGTTCAGCTAGCCTTGCTGACCTTCTGTCACATCTGGTGGGTGGTACCGTGTTCACGGGTCTGGATCTTCATCCTCAACTGGGTCGGAAGCCTCTGGGCTACCTGCATCCGGGCTCTCTGTAATCCCATCGCGGAATCCTGCAGCATCTTGTTAGGCAATGTCAAGGTACAGATGCAGCATTCCCCGCAGCACGTATAGCAGCACGAGATGGAAGGACCAGGGAACAATAGTTCAGAGATTCCATGGAAGAACCAACCAACTTGTTCGTGTCAAGGCGTCTTCCAGGACCTGCGATGATAAGGAACATTTAGTTCTCTGGTAGGTGATGGTGATTTTCGTTCTTACTTGTGATGAAGAGCTACCACAAAGGACCATTCCCAGAAAGACTACCATTTCCCCACCTCATGTAGGTGGCCAAGACCTTTGCTTAGACCTGCTGCTTAGGATAACCCTGGGGGCGTTTCATTAAATTTTTCATCAGTGACAAATAACACGTCTTGTTATAAGCTACCAAAATCCGTGCTTCTGATTGGTTATCAGCAGAATTGTCACTGATTTTGTCATTTGTCATTGAAAAAAAAGCTTTGTGAAACGGGCCCCTGGTAATGTTCGACTTTAAATCACTCGTAGGATAGGTCATGTTACAAGATGCTTTCCATGGACGGATGTCCAATATCGGCAATATCTTGTACACTGATGGTCATTTCAATTATGCCAGTGAGAAGAGTTGTTATAAGAGACCAGTCCATGGTGTAAGTCTAAGAAACACAAACGTTGCGCCTGACTGATGTTTAACAATACTAATGGAACATGCTCCAAATGGCCGTTCGATAATTCATGTCTAAGAAAGGCAAACTTGGATGATGATGATGATGATGATGATGATGCAATCGCATTTTAAATAGTTTTGCAAACTTACATTGAAATCATGCCAGAGAGACTCAGGACTCCATACGCACAGGTTTAAAGAAAGTAACACGAGGATCAAGACTTTTGATATCAAGGTCCAATCCCCAGCAATGGTATGTGGAGAGTATAGAGAAGAGAAGAGCATGACACAATGGGACACTATCGTCATGTTGAAAAGGAATCAGTCGGACACGAACAAATTAAATGTGGTGAGGAAGTATAAGTTGTAAGAAAGAAGTGGTTGTGTTGATAGCGCACGTTGCAGGCCGTCCTTTCGCTCAATGGAAACAATGATGCAGTCTTATCTACACTGTTGGTCATAATGGTGGAATATTTATTTTTACCCCAGTTTAGGGAAGGATTTTTAAAAATTATTTATTTCTAATAGATCTAGATAATGGCATACATTCTCAGATTCTATTGAATACTAATTTGCGAGTGTTTGTTTTGCGTGACTGCTTAATCATATGTGTGCTACTATGCTAATCAGCTAAGGGACCTACGTCCTTAAATCATAATTGACAGTAATGAGGATTAATGCCTCACAAAAGGGCACTAGTATATAGCTAATCGACACGATTTTTATCCTGGGGCCTCACAGTATCGAGGCCATTGCTTAGCCCCTGAATCATGACTGTACGCAGTGTTTGCTAGGGTACGCGGCCCCTTCCACAAATCCCCCAAAACGAAAAAAATGCAATAATTTTTCAAAAATTCATTGCATTTTCCCCCGGCCCCCAACAGGAAAAATTCTTCTGCAGGGTCATGCATTATGGTTCAAGGCATGGCCACACAGAAGAATTTTTCCTGTTGGGGGCCGGGGGAAAATGCAATGAATTTTTGAAAATTTATTGCATTTTCTTCGTTTTGGGGGATTTGTGGAAGGGGCCGCGTACCCTAGCAAACACTGCGTACAGTCATGATTCAGGGGCTAAGCAATGGCCTCGTAATACTGTGAGGCCCCAGGATAAAAATCGTGTCGATCAGCTATATTAGTGCCCTTTTGTGAGGCATTAATCCTCATTACTGTCAATTATGATTTAAGGACGTAGGTTCCTTAGCTGATTAGCATAGTAGCACACATATGATTTAGCAGTCACGCAAAACAAACACTCGCAAATTAATATTCAATAGAATCTGAGAATGTATGCCATTATCTAGATCTATTAGAACTAAATAATTTTTAAAAATCCTTCCCTAAACTGGGGTAAAAATAATTATTCCACCATTATGACCAACAGTGTACATCCCATGACACAATAGATGGGAGTGGCAACGATAAAGACTTGTTCACCCAGCTGAGATGATGGAATAAAATGAACATATGACTTTGGTGTTAATACTGACCTATTGCTGAGCTTGATGACTTTAAAAACTTAGATGTAAAATATTGAAAGAGCTAAATAGATAAGCTCTGATCTACCCCGTCCCCACCCTTGATACTACAGCGCCGCGAAATTTAATTAATGTGTGGCAATAATTTCCAACAACCTAATTACTTCTGAGCCTTAGATAGGATTAATCGCATTATCGATAATTTCCTTTATTTTACATGATCTATCAGTGTTTTGTTTTCTTCAAAAGGTGATGAAGTAATATTATTGTTATATAATATTAAATACTCGATTTCGTTACTGATGTCACTCCTATCTCAATTATCAATCATGTTTCATTAAGAATGAATTTGCTATATATAAGATATACATCCGTTTTTAAGACAAATTTGTGAATTCTGAGCACTCGGTCTGTTGTGCACTTCACATGACCCACTCTTTTATGTTACATGCGAACCCAGTATCTTATCCTGATTTCCGTTAATGTCCATTTAAGAAAGGTCACTCCACAATTTCTTTATGACATTTACAAATTTATTAGAGCAGTTGATATTCGTCACAATCATGTTCACGCAAAGTAAAGAATAATCAAAAGAACAATTTTATACTGTGTATATACGAATTTCTATAATATTGAATAATAAAATATATAATCTATGTTCAAAACACAACTATCAGTTAAAGTATCATTTAATAAATTGTACATTACTTTAATTACTGAATTTTCCTTTCGTTCTTTGTCACACTATCGAAATATCTTAAATCTGATGCCTTCAATGTTAATCACCTACGGGGAATATCAAAGTCAATATTTACAGAAATATCATCGTATAGACTTATTCAAATCAATATGAACAAATTAATCATTTGCAATTGAGCTTACAAATCGATTTATTAAAACCGCATGGGGGCGGGACTAAAATCGGCCCGATAAACTTGGTGCGGCCTTTACACCTATACGTCGAACGGCATGACTAGACGGTCCTTCGGAATAACTTCTGGGCCCCGTCTTATAAACAGTTGCGATTGATCCGATCGCTAGTCCTGGGATCAATAGCAAGTTTGCAGTCCCATATCTCTGAAGTACATAGTTGCACTTGAAATCAACTCTTTATAAGACGGGGGCCCAGGACTCCAATCATCAAAGAGATTCGATCATACACAGTATGTCCTCCGTAGTCCAAAATCCCCATTTTGCTGGTGCACTAAACATTTGTCGTCTTCATAGGCTAATACACGATAAGTGGAAGCAGCGTGCACTTTTGACCCTCCAAAGTCTCCCCATGGCTAGTAGACGGATGCAGAAGCGGAGTTGAACCCCCCTGCCAATCATTATTTAGAACGCCCTCACTCGCTCTCCAGATGATACGAATATAGACATTACGAAAGAATACATCGATTTTTATTTCAAGGCGGTGATAGAGATTATTTAAAATTAAACTAAGATTATTTAAAATAAAACTACATGATGCACAAATCATCAACTTCCTGTCCACCGAGTTGCTTGTAGCCGATTCCAAAATCCAATCAAGTTTGGCGGTTACTTATAGTGTACGGTCGTCTTGAAAGTTAACATGAAAATGAACTACAACTGGAAATCCAATAAATATTTAGCATGGTTAAAAAAAAAATATATATTCCCACCTCCCAAAAGAAATCACAATATATATCAGATGGTTACTACGTGATTTAAATTATCATTTTAAATAATGCCAAATATACAACCCTGATTATTTTATCGAAATAATCTTCTAATCTTTCTTAGAATACTTGATATATCGCCATTGATCAACAAAATTATAGCAAATCGATAACATTTAATTTCGGACTTTGCGAATGAATGACTTGATCTGTGATTCCTTTCCCCTATAGCTACAGTTCTTTCGACTCACATGTCATAAAGGGAAAGATTATCTCTCTTTGGCGTAGCAATCTCATTACTCGTTTTCTTGTTTTTGTTTAGGCATTCGTCACTTCTGCCTCCTTCCTTGTTTTTTCTTTCTCTTCCATCTCATCAAATCTTCGTTTTTTCCGGTATTTCTGTCTTTGATAATTGATGATATTGATAACATGTCTTTGGTATGAAGGGACCAATCAAAGGTATACGTATTGAGATTTAGTATTGAATAATCTATTTCAGTTATCGTGGCTATAATGCATACTCAAGTTCAAAAGAGAGGCATGGATTGCAGAACATTCTGATGCCTTCCCTGAAATCAAGGAACGCACGCACAATAACTGCTTTCATGACGTAGAACACAGTTCGTGACCACGCCCATGAGAGTAAGCTTAGTAACGACATTTGGGTCAAGGGTCAAACAGATGTCTCCCAGATGACGAAATCATCATTGTCCTTTCCCTTCCAATCGACAAATCGAAAGCGATGTTGATCACCGGGTTCCAGACCTTTTCCTCTGTGACGACCACGAACATTAGGACATCCTTCTGTGACGACAACCAAAGGCTCATCGGGACCACGGTCATCCGCGATTCCTGACATCGTTTCATCAGTGACGCAGAGGTTGAAGGCGACGTCGAGATGTCGGACGTGTTTGCAGTGGAGTGAGATGTAGGTGATCGTAGCCGACGTCATGTCAAAACATTCCCGGGCGATCACCGTGTGAAGATGAAGGCAAGCACTCGCTAAAATGTCGACGCCAGGACCAATGATGTCGAAACACCGTGACACGTCGACGTGTTCGAGGAGTGAGCAACCACGTCCGATGAATTCCAGTCCTCTGTCGGTGATGTCGTGGCAGTCAGCGATGTCGAGATGAGTCAGGCTTGGTAGCCATTCACCGATGCGTTTCAACCCAATGTCCTGATCACAGAAAGAAACATTTTAAATAAATTACAATGCAATTCATTTTTGTTTTTCATTTAACTAATCAACTAATACCTATCAAATGACAATAACTGAAAGAAAATAGTAATGGGGGCGTGCTTCACCCATGACACCCACGACGCTCTTTGATAATTATCAAAACTTCACGGCAATATGAGGCACCCCACCCTGGAAAAAAATAAAGACAAAAAGTGATAATGACGAATAACAACCTTGCAAAAAGAAAATATAAAGGGGGAGAGGGGAGGGGTAGGGGGTGGGGAGATGAATGTAAAATTATTGGGGAGAGGCGTAGAAAAGTAAAATAAAGTCACTTTCACAGTTTCACTAGTTTGTCCACTCCTTTCGCGAAACGATGATTTAAAGAAAAAAAATAAAAAAAATAAAGGACGTTTCTTTATTCGAGTTTTGTATACATTTATTATGAATGGGCTATATATCAGAGAGGAAGGAAACACATTGGGTGGTATTCTCTTAAGTTAAGCCGGGACTAAGAAACAACAATTTTAGTTCGCACTTCTATGGAATGCTAGGTTTCATCTTCCTCCTTCAATATTCATGACAAAGATAATCTACCAAGGACTTTGTTGAAATTTAGTTTATATTCATATTATCTTTTTCTTCCTATTTCAGTGCAAAATTAATTTTTTGGACACTTTTCATTGAAGGATTAAAATAATCTGTTCAGGGTAAATTAGTTCACAACAGGCACTCCATAAAAGTGTGAACTAACTAAGCACGCGCTAACTTAGTACGCGCTACCGGAATACCACCCATTGGCCCGAATTCAAAAAGGAGGTTTGTCGACAAACCAAGGTTTATGTGCGTGATATGACGCGTTTCGACGCGTTTCTGACCAAGGTTTGTCTGAATCTTTGTCTGGTCTCAAACGCATTGAAACGCGTCATATGACGTACACAAATCTAGGTATGTCGACAAACCTCCTTTGTAAATTCGGGCCTTTGTGTCTGCAAGATTCGTTTACTAGTTTAGAGGTTACAACAAAGTTATTTTTTATCAATAATATAGAGCTATTCTTTAATCATTAATCATGGCTTGTAAATATTTCAGTACGAGTGAACTTACATGAATGCAGCAGTTTCGAGCCTTGAGTGTAACAAGCTTCGTACAGTTCATCATGATGGCTTCCATATCCTCATCACTGCATCCACTATGACTGATGTCCAAGTGAAGGAGATCATTCAAATGCTCTGTTAATCTGCATCCACAAGAAACGGGGAAATAAATAACTTTAGAAGAAATATAATGTAGGTTCACGAATGACGCATCAGATGTTGGGAGGGAGAGTTTGGTTTATACAAAATGAAGTTATGATCATTTTGGTATTGATAATAATGTACATACATTTTTAAAAGGCATGCAATTTATATGCTTCAATTGAAGGTGGTATACTGTACAAGAGAATCGAAATGTATCTTTCATTTTAAAATGTAGATCTTATCTTGTTTCTTCACTCATCTTTGAAAGATAACAGTTGAAAATTATTGTGGTGCTATAAAGGCCTCACGAAAACTCTTGCCTGCTTGGGATGGCAACATATTCAACATTCTTACTGTTATATTGACAAAGACACAAGGGGCGGACTGGTAATGGTGAATTATCCCCATGGGCTGATGGATATTTTGGCTTGAGGGTCAGTATTGTTGTCTGAGGGCCGGTCGAACAGAGCATGGACTTATAGTTTGATCGGGCCAGTCGCATCGAAATTCTCTAACCAAATTTCAGTCTCAGTCTGCCCCGGAAAGGAACAACCTTAAAGTCTATATCTCGGGAAAAGTTTATAAAAGATATTCCAACTTGCGAAAAATTTCATCACATGTAGTAAGATAATCCGTTTTTTATCACGTCAGGAATTTAATTGCACCATCTTTCGGTGAAGACGTACATAGAGTAACTACCGGTTCCTGTACCCAAGCACCATGCAGTTGGTGATGTATTGTGGGACATGGCTGTCGATATTGTGAGCAGCATAATGGCTGTAAGTAATTCTGAAGTAGTGTCAGTAGAAAACCCTTGATGTTAACGACAGGTATAGACCTCGAATCCACACAAATATGAACCCGGATAACAATCACATCAACCATCAGCTATATAGTACGAACCTGTCTAGATCAATGACAGTGAGGGGGTTAATCTTAACGAGTCTCTGGTGCCATGCCATCTCAAGTCGTTTCAGTCTGCTCCCATGTGTGGATATATGAAGCAGTTTGTGTGGGTCATTACGAAGACCAAGGCACGAGTTCATGATCAGCTCCTCCAGGCTATCTGCGCTCCACCTGTCGAAGAAAAGCAGAAATGGCGGAGGATGTCAAACAAAGTAAAATTTTCAAATAATGTATCTATAATCGGTAGATATAGCTCAGTCGGTAGAGCAGTGGTCTCGTAATCCGGTGACCCGAGTTCGAAACCAAGTCGATGCGCTAGTGCCCTTTGGTAAGGCATTAATCCTCATTACCAGGTCCCTCGGAGAGGACCTTAAGCCGTCGGCCATCTGGTTGCTTACTACCAAGCATTTATGCTTTCTTAGCAGTCAGGTAAAATAACCACCACCATTCATTCATTCAACTATCAATTATATCATCCTGAATAGGAGGTAATCGTTCTGTTTTACTCATCCAGCGAAACACTTCATACTAAGTGACAACCAATGAAGGATTTTAGTTAAAATTTTAAATTTTAAAGAGGTCCTAAACTATCAAAAGACCATTTCTTGGCTCCAATTGCTGTTCATTTTCACCCTGCATGTCTCTCGTAAATCTGCTTTTGTCTTTAATTATGAGATCCTGCTGACATATCTTGTATATACCGGCAAACGAGGCCTAAAGATGATGACGTAATATTGTACTTATTTACATCTATTCACGATATTGTCCAAAGCAATAGGAAAATAAACAACAACAATAAATAAACAAACAAATAAATAAATGACCTCATAAATAGATGAAAAGATAGATAAATTAAATTAATAAATGGATGAATGAATATATAAATGAATAATTGAATAAATAAATAAACTGATAATTAACAGATAATCGAAAATTGTTCAAAGAAAGAACATACAACATGCTGAAGAGAAGTAGCTTACTTGACGAGCATGTATACCCCTCGACAGGTGATGTTTGGACATCCACTTATGTCCACTCTGACCAGTTTGACCAGGTTAGCTAGCACACGCAGACCACAGTTGGTCAGCAATGGACAGTAAGATACATCCAATGTCCTCAACTGACCACACGTTCTGGCCAATTGATATATGACGTAATCACTGACGTCATCGGAGTGTGAGAGGTTGAGTGTGGTGAGGGAGGTGGTTGAGCGGGCCGTGGTCGATGAGAGGACGTCGAAGTCGAAGGGACGGTTACGTGAGAGGTCGATCGATGTCGTCTGGTGGTGAAGATTATAGACATTAGGACAGGAAGAGATGTAACATGGTAGAAGGCAGAACAAGAATGCTGAGAGTTGCAGCGGCAATAATGATTTTAAAAAGAACAATTATTTCAATTTTAAATGTCACACAGAATTAATCACTTTTTTGTTATACCTTCAATGACATCCAAATTATCAAATTTGTTCAATTTTCAATAATGTAACTAAACTATTGCAATTCTATAATATTGTTTCTAGATGTAATATGTTATATAGTTTGTTTTCTGTGTATACTCTCTCTTAATGGATTAAAAATAGCAGTTCTGACGAAGTGTTAAAAAACAATCTTAAAAAATATTTGTTTAATTTAGCTTATAATTGATTACATTACCTTTCATGTCTGTACCTTTCCTATTGCATTTTTGTATTTATTTATTATTAATCTTTTGCACAAGCTGCGCCTTGAGCCTTAATTGTCAAGTTAATTTGGCGCCATTACAATCTTATGTATCATTATAAATAAATTTAAATTTAAACTCAAATTCATATTTCAAATCCTGGAAATCTTTTAGGGGCTGTGTCGTCTTCTTTTCACGTTCATTTCCCTCTCTTTCTCCCTGTTCTGCCTCTCTCTCTTTATTTCTTTCTTTTCACAATTTGATGATGTGTGAGAGGGGGCGGGGTGGTCTTCACCGCTATGCCACTGGCTCTCATGAGGTTAATTTGCAATTACGATTAGAAAAAGAAAAAAGAAAGAGATTTCACATGCAAAGAATCGAATGCAAAGTGGCAATGTGATTTAAAATGTCCACATTTTTCCAAATCATTTTTGTAAATTTCAATTCCTATTCTCGTTATACCTTAAACAAGCATGACGTTTGAATGACGTCATTCAATCTGTTTGACGTTCCTCGCAGATGAGCAAACGTCTTGCTGAGAGGGTGTATGAAACCGATGATCTTCACCAATAATTCATCTGGTAGGTCGTCAAGAGAGGGAGACAAACAGCATGATAAATCCGAGAGGATTGCACCATTTTCACTTGTTAGCTCAGACGATGAGTTGATGCCATTGTCTGGTGAATTAGAGAGACAAAGAGCAGATAACGATTATCAGTATTAACTACAAAGAGAATAACATTCAGTATTATATTGGTTTCCTGATGCAGTGAAGTAGTGATTTCTGTTTGCCAATTATGAAATGATTATTCTCCTCAAAGAAGAAGAATTAATTGTGGTGTATTATTTTTTCATTAAATACTGTTCTCCAAAAATTCTTTGAACTTCTCTTGCATCTTTTTGTTGTTAGTAGAAGATCAGGCACACATGAAAAACTCTGAAAGGAATCCACTATTAAATATACGATTATTAGCAATTACAACGGAGAATGATGTTTCCAAAATGCGATAACAACGATATCTAGTAAAATTATTCTAGTTTCATTCCAGTCATAACTATTCAAACTCATTGAAGGAGCACATCCATCATTTATACGAAAATATCAGTTACAGTCAAAGATATCATGATAAAGAGATACATGAAATGGGGTACAAAGAAAAAAAAAGTGAAAAAGTAAAAAGATTTAGGAGTTGTCTGAGAATGTTGAAATATCGCTTTTGTTACTAACATAATTTTTCCACAAAAGTCGATCTTGTACGTTTCGAGTTTTTTAAATATTTTGTTTACCTTGAATGCTATAATTTCGCTTTGTCTTTCGTTTTGTCTGTATTCTCTTCGCTCTCTCTTTAAAATGCAGTTTTGTTGGCCTGAAGATGCCAACCATAGCCTGATTGCTGCAACAAAACTAGAGAAATAAATGGGCAAAAAAGAAGAAGGTACAGTTAGAAACTCTTTTTTTTTAGTTTCATGAAACATTCGCTAAACTATTATTCGAGATTGCACCAGATGAAAGATTTAATTTTTCATACTTACCTAGATCAGATTTAGCGAAAGGTATGCATATAATAGCACTTACCATTTTAATAATGCATCCTTTGTATTATTGTCTATCATAAGTCTTAAAAGATTTATGACATACTGCTTGTAAACATCTTCAAATTACCGTCCAGACACACACCGTGTATAAACAGAATATATCTAGGCCTATATTGAGGATGGCGTCCATAATATATCCGGACTTCGTTGTGTATCCGGACAGTTGATCTAAACCAGCAATTAATTTATCAAGACTTATGTTAAACAATATCATAAAGGACGACTTTTTATGATTGTATGGTGCTATTCGATTTAATCTCGACCTAGAGCCTATATATATATTTTTTTAAATGCAAAAGTGACGGGTTTAAATTTTTAAGCGTCCGGACACACAACTCCCATCAATTCATACAATATTTCCCAAAGCTTATGATGGAGGCCCGCCCCCACCCCAACTCCGGGAACGGAGGGACCGCATGCGTGTTCCCAAAATCTCCGGCTCGTAACAAAGAAAAAGATCTAGATCTACCCGTATTGACTTTACACACCTGACTTATGCTGAAAGGGAGGGGGGGGGGGGGGTGCTAGACTAGATCTATGTGATGGTGGTTGGGTGTCTTGGATCTTGGATTCTTTTCCTCCTAAATACTCCGAAGAAGAGTTTTGACTGGAGGTGGTGGAGGGTGGACGATTACATTTTGGAAAAAAGTTCTTTAGTAACTGCATTTTTAAATGTGAGCGGGGAGGTTTGGTCGATGGTTGCTTGTTGTAGGTTGCTCCATGTCTTTACAGTTAGAAAAAATATAAATTCTTCTCTTTTGCCTTCTGATTTAACGGAATGTATTCACCAAATAGCACTAATCATCATGAATATTTGTCCTTTTTAATATTTTCTAACGGTAACATAACTCTTGAAATATTTGTGAAATAATGCATAGACTCTAGATCTAGACCAGACTAGTCTATGAACTTCTTCAAATTACTGTTTTAACCAAATGTCCGGACACACGACGTCTTGGTATTATAATTATCACAAGAATAACAGTTCTTTAAAGAAGAAATAAATAAAAGATGCACTCACCATTACGCAAAAATGTGAAAATGAAGACCTTCAATATCAAAAGCAGTAATACTCCCTAAGCTTTAGACAAATTATTTTTTTCAAAAAGAAAACCGTTAAATGTCTCCAATTTATTGATGCGCGTTCAGCATCACTTAAAATGCATACCAGACAGCGCGCCAAATTGTCTGCTCAAAGATGCGCGCACTCGCAAAGTCTTTGACAAGCATCATTAATTCTCATCCTCATTATCAATCATTTTTAATTCATCATCATCGCCATCATCACTATCGGCAGCATCATCATTATCTTCTTTATCATCATTATCATTTTTATAATCATCGTCATCATCAGTATCATCCTCATTATTACCATCATCCACAAGTAGTGCGGGATGGGGGAATTTTAAATTACCTAATATTAGGGTATAAACCGTCTTCTCAAATTTGGGCATTGTTCTCTTTATGACTGTTGGATGTGTCTTTTATGGTTGGAATGAATGAAACGTGTTTTTTTTAAACTTTTTAAAATCTGACTTGAAAAGTGTGCGAATTTTGGAAACCCCACCATAAACAAAGAAATCCCAACATAAGGTGGAGTTTGAATAGGAAATTTTATTTTGGTCATCCTTTGATAGTTATGCTATATAGTCTGGCCGGATCCCTATTAACAGTTATATGAGAGGGGGGGGGGGGGGGGGAGGGGGGATATCTACGGACGCCTAACAAAAATAAAGCCACCACCTTTGCCTTTTTGATTTAACATCATTTAATATATGCCCTTTATAATATTGTCGAGTATGCTTCTTCAAATAACAGTTTAAAATGTCAAACTGTCCGGATACACAACCTGTCCTGCCACACAGCGTCTGGATACTGTTCTGATGGTGAAGACAGTTAGTCCTATTGTCAAAGGAACAGACTCCCCTGGCTATCTGCATTTCTTTTGTTTTCATCATTCACAACAAAGATATTGGCTCTCAATACATTAACGCCGTGTTAATTTCAGTTTGTAATTCCCGCACGCAGTAACGTTTGTAAATATACATGTTGTGAATCGAGAAATATGTTTGAAATGCCATACTTGTCTTGAAACTTACAACCCTTTTCTCCCGCTGTTCAATTTTCTCATGAATCTTAATCGTAACCTGGATATTCCCCTTCTCTTTACACCGCGTTCAATAAGGTATGCATTGTACAACTTATAAAGTTAGGATATTCTTCCTTGATTTTGTTTGAAATAACAACCAACATGGCATCGATGAAGGCAGAAACTTTAAATCAGATTGGTCTCTGAAGTATTTCTTCATAGAAGAGAAAGGTAAACCACTTTGCCTCATTTGTCACCAGAGTGTGAATGTAATAAAGGTTAACAACATCGCAAGACATTATGACACGCAAATTATGGAGAGTTACAGGATGAGGCTAGAAAACAAAGGCTTGGCAAATTATAGTGACCGGTCTGACTTGCTGAAACTTGTCCATTTAATGCAGCCCCAAAAATCAAACTAAAAAAGTGAGCCTGATTTTGTTTTCTCCACTGATTTTGTAGTTTGCTTGTTTGTTTTTGCAAAATTGCAGGTGTGTACACGTATTGCATGAGTGTGTGCGTGTGTGTGTGTGTGTGGGGGGGGGGAGAATACCTACGGCCCGCAAAGTTATGCCAATCGTCAGCTGTGGCCCGCGAGCTTTGAAAGGTTTGCCACCCGTGGAATAGAGGATACAGGTATGGGTCAGCAATCAAGGTGTCGTGAACACCATTCTTTCGGAGTGAGGGGCGGGGAGGGGGGGGGGGATAGGACTGAAGATCCCACCGGGGATTATCGACGCGACAGACCCACTTAATCTATTCAAACGGCTCTCCAGCCAAAATATTGAGCGGTCTGAGGGGGAAACTTTTTTCTTCTTCTGTTTTTATTGTTATTTCTGAAATATCTACAGAGTAAAAGCAACAATATAATCATCTTAAAATTACAAAACAGAAACTTCGCAAACTCACCATGGGCAGTGCGCCTCTGTCTTCAGGTGAAAAAAGAAGATAATGCACTATACGAAGTGGATTACATCTTCTCCCCCTTTTCCTTTCTTCTTGTGATCATAGTTAAATAGCAGTTGTCACTGCCTTAACTTACGAAGCCGATCTTTGATCTCCCAGTGCGAAATAAATGTCCCCATCGAGAATACTAAAAGCACGCCATCTGGAAGTGAGTTCCATAGGCAAGCACCTCCGTACACACAACCGCGTTTGGTACTATCCGTTTAGGCTGGATTATTTTAACATATAGATTGCCACTTTTCGTAAAAACCACAGTAACAATCAGACAGTAAGAATCAATCATTTTTATTTTCGGTCCAGGAATGATGAATCAAAGGCTTTTTGTAAGGAACAAATTGGAAATGTTTTATATTTTGTTAAAGAAATATCAAATTCGATCATAAATTAAAACAAGTTAGATCATAATCAACCCCCTCTCTATTTATATACAGTATACAATGCAAGTACAAACTATTTAATTCATGCCACAATGCAGTACTAAAATCCGAATTAAAATGTTATTTAAGATATTTACAAAACTACAGTAAGAAATCACAAAGAACCCGTGTTTCTATTTTCTAAAATCAAATGAGTACCAATCTTGTGGTGTCACATGTTGTAACATTTTTACACCCATACAATTGCTGAAGATTCAAAGATACATTGTCACATAACAAAATAATTTCAATTTAAATACCTTTTACCACTTTCTGTCCGTTAATAGTCTTGTTCAGACGGGGTTTTGCTAGTCGGCGTAAGTTTGAATCCCTGCAGCACTAAATGTCTCATGTATATTTCATTTACACCATTAGTTGTCCACACGCTCTTACTCGGACCAGCTTAACACGATCTTCCACCGACCAGCGTAGCTTACGCAGAGCCATATACTCCCGGGTATAAGTGAGAGCAGAGCCATCTATACAAAAAGTTTGGCCAACCCGGTTCGAGTTGGCATGGCGACTACTGCTTTGTTGGGCAAGCTCAAAACCAAAGAATATACGCCATGCTGTGACCCAGTGAAACCAAGTTATCCAAACTCTGTGTATAGATGGCTCGTGAAAGGTTACATAATACTCCCGGATGTAAGTGAGAGCATCCACATGGTCAACTTACGCTATACCCTCTAGTCGTGTTAAGCCACCATCACACCGAACTAGTTCTCAATATGTTCTGGAAAATGTTGCCAAACGGGTTCAAACTGTGTGCGAACGGAGTTGAACGTAGTAGCAACTGTTTACGATATGTTTAAGAACTTCATGGACGGGCTCAGACTGGCTATACGGGAGACTGCTCTAGAACTTTGAGCCTGTTCAAAATTGTCCCCGTCCTGCAATTAGACGGAGTGACAACGTACTTAAAACGAGGAGGACGTACTACAAACGGACTGATTGCCGTACTATGAACGGAATTGCCGTTCTTCGATCCTACTTGGAACGTGTTGCAACGTGCTGTGGTCGAGCATCAATTACCAGCAGCTAAGTCCCCATCACACCAAACTAGTTCTCACTTCGTTCCGGAACCGTCATAGGAAATCGTTCAAAAACGGGTAATGGTCGGGGTAGAATATGTAAATAATGTCTATAATACGATCCTAGAACGTTCATTAACAGTCCTCAATACGTCCATATCGTCTGTACCCCGTTCACCGTCAGTTCACATCAAGTTCAGATCGGGTAAATTTGCTATTTTCAAGCAGTCCAAGCCCGTCCGTAATCAATAATACCAGTTCTTAACTCATTCTACCTCGTTCCCAATACGTCCAAACCATTTTAACTAGCTCGTTATAGTTATAGTAGTTAACGGGTACAAACTGACTACGGACTGGCTTCAGCTCCCTGGAAATGGCAAATTTACCCCGACCATCACCCGTTTTTGAATGATTTTCTAGGACGGTTCCAAAACGTAGTGAGAACTAGTTTGGTGTGATGGGGGCTTTAGCGAGTTACTCCTGGATTTGTCCAGGAGCAAATAGGCCGGGGTAAAGGTAGTTGTAGCTAACACGATCGTCGTTCAGACCAGGGAAATGTCCCTGTTCAGACGGTCACTACTCCGACATTTACACCCACCTTACCATATTTACCCCGACTAGCTGTTAACACGACCTTTACACCAGGGTAACTTGCCTCCGTCTGAACAAGACTAATGTGATCACTACATCTCAATATTGCTGAGTTCATTTCCCAATAATCAAGATTTGATTTGTCCCATCTTTGGCATTACCAACAAAATATTGTTATATTATGTCCATTTTTGAGGCTGGATAATTCATTACGCTTTTTAACATATTTACATGTGCTGCACTGTAATTGTATCATCCCAATTATAGAAAATTTCACGCAGTACATCTTTAAGAACAAAAAGAAAATTATGAAAATATTCGGCAATATCAGATTTAAATCAATATTTTACATCACTTCGCATTTGGAACTGCAACAATTTTATACTTGAATATAATTTGTTTTCAATTCATTCACGTAAATTTACATTGAAGTCTTTTAATAATAATAATAATAATAGTTAGCTCTTATATAGCGCATTGATTATACCAATGCGCTTTACAAATGTAGAAGACAATAGAAATAAAGACATATAAAAATAATTACATATAATTATATTCAAAGCTTACAAGTAAGAAGACATACGTTATACATTAGAAAAATCGAAAGTAGCTTCTATTAAAGGTGATACATGTAATATTTGAAAATTATTATAATGGTGGGGAAGGCCCAATACAACAATATAAATATGAATAGATAAATAAACATCAGCATTCAGTCAGTCACAAAGATGGTATGTGCTGCACCAACCCTTTGGAACCAGTACAAAATTAAAAGGAAATGTTGAACAAATATGTCTTGAGTTCTTTCTGGAATATGTCTATGCTTGATTGAGCACGTAGAGTGCTAGGAAGAGAGTTCCAAAGGGTTGGTGCAGCACATTCAAACGACCTGTCACCAAAAGATTTGGTTCTGCTTCTATTTACAACTAGCAGATTTTGCGAGGCAGATCAGAGTGATCTGGTTGGTAGATATTGGGCTATCAACTAGGATAGGTAAGTAGGAGCAAGACCATGGATTGCTTTAAATGTGAGCAGGATAACTTTGTAGTGAATGCGTACGGGAATAGGTAACCAATGGAGCTCCTTTAAGATGGGAGTAATGTGATTGTATTTACTTGACATAGATACAAGACGGGCGGCAGAGTTCTGAATTCGTTGGAGTTTGGAAATGTCTTTGTCCGGCACGCCGAAGAGAAGACTGTTACAGTTGTCCAGCAGTGATGTGACAAACGCATGGATCAGTATTTCTGTTGTCTTCTGGTTAAGGAGACGGCGAATACCACCAATTCTTCTTAAGGCGAACGAAGCTCTGCGACACACCAAATTTATGTGGCGACGAAGATATAGATGTTTGTCGATGACTACCCCTAGGTCCTGGACAGCTTCAGCGGGCTTACTCCGGTATTAGATCCTATCCATTAAAGACCACCATTAACTGTGAGTTCCTTGTCCTCTTCTTGTGGTTGGAGTGCCTCCTGAAATTGCAGAAGAAAGCACGTTGTTAACCAATAATCTTACTAGACCTTTAACTAAAATATTAAGACAAATTATGAACATGATACAAAAAAGCTATAGTTGAATTTTCCTTTTCTACTTGTATCTGATTCATTGGGTAATCATATCAGAGAAGTTACTTTTAAGAAATTCCGTTAGTTCAATGCATTAGCTGCAATTCACATTTTACTTATGCATTCAAATACATTTTGGGAAATAGATTCATGGAGTAATCCTATCCAAGTTGTTGACCATTATGTACTACAGGATCATCACTATACTTTGAAATAAGAATGCTTTTAATGGCTGGTAAAATGAAGCTCAACTCACTTGTAGAGCACAAAGAAGATAAGGAGGACGACGAGAAGTAGTACCAGGATGATACCGATGACAACAGCTACTATCGTGTGGGTGTTGGCCAATAAGCTAGATGTAACCACATTTCCTCCGCCTGCGGTGAATAGCGCGACAATCGTCGGTGTCTCCTCGACTATCTTTGGTGTAGTAGCCATGGTCAGCTTAGAGGGTCTGACAGGAGGTAGGGTGGTGGTGGTGGGTGGAAGGGCTGTGGAAGGCACAGAAGGTTGAGGGACACTTGGGGTTGGCTCATCCCCTTCACATGTGTGTCCGTCAGCGGTGAGCGATACATTAACAGGGCAGAGACATGAGTAGTCAGCCGGACCATTAACCCGAGGGCAAGCCACGCACAGGTAGGAACACATTCCGTTGTCTTGGGCACATGGCACTTCCCCTGCAGCTGTTGGTAAACAAAGAACAGAGTGCCACGTAAATTACACATCGATCTAAATGTGTGTGTCTTGACAGATAAAAAGTCGGACTTTCAATAAAACCTATGAACAATACATTTTAACAAGAACAACAAATCGTTAAAAAGGTTGCATTGGCAATATTCAAAAGCTGAAAGTAAAATATGAACTCGTGGAAGAGGAAATAATACTTACGAGGAGCCTGTCTGAGAGGATTAACAACGATGACATCCATGGCATCTGATACTCCAGAGAGGATAGTTGTCTGGTTAGAGCCAGTGAACTTGTCAGCCCGTTCGATGCTCTCCTTGGTCCAGTCCGTCCAGTAGATGTAATCTTCAAAGACAGCAATGCTGAATGGATGGGAGATACGATCCTGTCCAGCCACTACCACTCGCCGGTTTCCACCCATGAAATCCACGCAACTGATGCTGCTTTCCTTGGCGTCGGTCCAGTAGAGCATATCAAGAGTGTAGTCCAGGGTCAATCCGTTGGGCCAAGACACGCCCTCGGTCACAATGGCGGTGCGTCCTTGTCCGTTCATGCCAGCACGCTCGATCACCCCTAATCCCCAGTCACTCCAAAACATGAGACCAGACTCTGGGTCCACAGCGATTGCTCGGGGCTCGTCAAGGTTGCTGGAGATCAGAACGGTGTGCCGGGTGCCTTCAAAATTGGACACAACGATGTTGTCGACACCAGTGTCGGTCCAGTATAGGAGCCTGTTGATCCAGTCCACAGCAATGCCATCAGGAATCTTCACTTTGTCAGTCACAATCACAGGTTCTACTGCATTCTCTGCTTGCAGTTGGGTTCTTTAATGAGATCAGATATGGCTTAATAAATCACACCTTCATCGAACCACATCAAGTCATTCCGAATGCTATTTCATAATTTTATTGATAACGACTTTCTTAAAAAGGACATCACAAGCTATTTACATTACCAATGTAAGTTCAGTCATAACATATTGCATCTAATATCAATCATTGCCTCATATGAAGGTATATCTCGTCTGCTAAATATCAAACAGCAATAACTTCAAATGATCATTCAACCTCATCTGCTTGTTGCTATTATTTATCGTTTCTGCTGATCCTAAAAGAATCATATTAAACTCACGTGTCCAACCTGCATGTGTCGTATGAGATATCGCAGAAAATGTAATTATCCTTTAATTACTTGCAGGGGCGGCGATCCCGGGAGTACGGGGACGTGGGGATCGCCCCCCCCCCCCCCACTCCGGAAAATTTGAAAAAGTACCTTTAAAAAATGTATAGCAAATACTGACTAAAGACTGCGACACACTTTTAGGCGCTTGAGGGCCCAGAATGCAGCGTTTTACTAATAAAAATGCAAAAATCTTCTCGCTCGGTCGCTAAAGTCGCTACGCCCCCTCGCATAATACCCCTCAAAGTATTTTATCGCAAATTTAATGAGCTACGAAATTTGACCTGTGACCTATGTACTCCAAAACCGAACTTAGTCTATATTTTGATATCATATACCTTCATATCAAATTTCATTAAAATCCGTCAAACATTACTAAAGTTATCGATCGGAAACCAGATGTGTATTTTTTTGCATATTTAATGAGCTATGACCTTTGACCTTTGACCTACGTGCTCCAAAATCGAACTTAGCCTGTATTTTGATATTATGTACCCTCATATCAAATTTCATTAAAATCCGTCAACGTTACTGAAGTTATCGATCGGAAACCAAATTTGTTATGGACGCACGGAAGGACGGAAGGACGCACGGAAAGACGGACGGCAGCTTTTCTATGTCCCCTCCGACTTTCACGACGAGGGGATAACTATCTCTTGTGGGTACGTAGGAGAGAAATATATAGAACTTTCATTTCTCTCCCCCAAATAGTGGTGAAATGAACGGTACGTGGTTGGTATGTGCCTAGCAAAACCAACTTGAGAAATATCTGCCAACTGAACTTCATCCTCAACTCTTGCATCATTACGTCTAAGCTTAGTAATCTTAGAATGCTTTGATCCATTGTTGATGGTAGAATTTATGATCTTCCATGTTCTTTTAAAATCATTTTTGCAACGATTGAATTGATCATGATAATACTCTTTTTTAGCAGTACGTATCACTCCTGTAAGTTTATTCTTATAATTAGTATACTGGATCCGTGTTTGATCAGTTAATTTAGATATATATTAATAGTATAATTTTTTTTCTCGATTTATTAAACGTAGAATCGAATTCGTTATCCAAGGTAGTCTGGGTGACTTCTTATAATTTTTAGACTTGGGTTTAGAAAAAGGAATATTTCGATTTACATGAGATATAAAAATTCCAATAAAAATTTCATACGGCTGATTAACATCTTCTGTATTAAACACGTCATCCTAAGATTCTTCTTCTAGGCTTAGTTTCAATCCACATAGGTTTTCGTCATTATATACACGTCTTTTAGGTGCATCACTAGGAGAGATATTTGCCTGAAATCGTTCGGAATAATACATGAAAATCGGGAAATGATCAGAAATATCTGACAGGACTATGCCAGCTTTAAATTCAGAGCGTACATTTGAAAAAAAAGTTGTCAATAAGAGTTGCCGAAGTATTGGTTATTCTAGTGGGTCTAGAAATGAGTGGCAAGAAAGAGGCAGAGAGGAATGTCTCTAAAACTCATGTGCATGAATATTAGCATCACTCGTTAAGAGGTCATAGTTGAAATCTCCAAATATGATACACTTTTTGTTTTGAACGGAGTGATAGTGTAATAAATTATTCAGAGTGTCTAGAAAATAAGCATGATTGCTCTGAGGTGGCTTATAAACAACTCCCAAGATAGTTTTTCTTCTATTGCGATCAGTAATTGCAATAAACAACGTTTCTGCAATTTCATTCATCACTTTCATGTCTTCGATTATAACATATTCAAATTGACTTGGCACAAAAAATGCAACACCACCACCTATTTTGTTTATACGATTATTTGTAAGTATACCATATCCAGGGAGAGAAAACAGTGTATTATTTTGATCTGAAAGCCACGTCTCAGTTGCGCCTAATACTGTATTTTGGGGAACTCCAGTGTTATCTAGAAACAAACGAAATTGTTCAGAATTCTAATATTAAGATGTAATATAGACAAGCAAGAATCAGGTATAATTTTGAAAATATTTTATGCTAGAAAATATTCGGCAATGAATGTATTTTCTTGAATTATGAATGGCAGGAAATAAAGAAAGGAAACTCACCCTAACATGGGCATTTTCGTTCTTGCCAGGTTTGCCAGCAATGTGAATTTTTGTCTCGGGGTCTAATGAGAAGGTTTCTTCAGTCGTCTTTCTGTATACCGTGCTGTCGGAGTTCATTGTTCTCTTCTTGCGGATGGAGTGTATTCTGAAATTATAGAAGAAAGCACATTGTTAACCAATAACAAAATGGAAAAAAAATCTTACTAGACCTTTAGCTTCACTATTAAGACAATTTATGAACAAATGATACAAAAATAGCTTTATTTTAGTTTTTCTTTTCTACATGTATCTGATTCTTTGAGTAATCATATTAGAGATGTTATTATTAAAAAATTCGTTAATTCAATTCTCTAGCTGCAATTCAAATTTTACTCATGCATTCACATACATCTTGGGAAATGGATTAATGGAGTAATCCTATTCAAGTTTACTCCTGATCAAGTTGTAGACTATACTGTAGCCTACTACAGGATCATCACTACACTTTGAAATCAGAATGTTATTGATGGCTGGTAAAAATTAAGCTCAACTCACTTGTAGAGTACAAAGAAGAGAAGTAGTATACTGATGATACCGATGACAACATATACTATCATGTGGGTATTGGCCAATGGGCTAGATGTATTACTTCCTCCTCCTGTGGTGAATGGCGCGACAATCGTCGGTGTCTCCTCGACTATCTTTGGTGTAGTAGCCATGGTAGGCTTAGTGGGTTTGACTGGAGGTAGGGTGGTGGTGGGTGGAAGGGCTGTGGAAGGCACAGAAGGTTGAGGGACACTTGGGGTTGGCTCATCTCCTTCACAGGTGTGTCCGTCAGCGGTGAGCGATACATTAACAGGGCAGAGACAGGAGTAGTCAGCAGAACCATTAACCTGAGGTGAAGCCACGCAAAGGCAGGAACACATTCCGTTGTCTGTGGCACATGACACTTCCCCTGCAGCTGTTGGTAAACAAAGAACAGAGTGCCACGTAAATTACACATCGATCTAAATGTGTGTGTCTTGACAGATAAAAAGTCGGACTTGGTTTTTAATAACACCTATGAACAATACATTTTAACAAGAACAAAAAATCTTTAAAAAGGTTGCATCGGCAAAATTCAAAAGCTGCAAATAAAATATGAATTCAGGAAAGAGGAAATAATACTTACGAGGAGCCTGTCTGAGCGGATGAACAACGATGACATCCATGACATCTGATACTCCAGAGAGGATAGTTGTCTGGTTAGAGCCAGTGAACTTGTCAGCCCGTTCGATGCTCTTCTTGGTCCAGTCTGTCCAATAGATGTAATCTTCAAAGACAGCAATGCTGAATGGATGCCAGATACGACCCTGTCCAGCCACTACCACTCGCCGGTTTCCACCCATGAAATTTACCGAGCTGATGCTTTTTTCCTTGGCGTCGATCCAGTAGAGAATATCAAGAGTGTAGTCCAGTGTCAATCCGTTGGGCCAAGACACGCCCTCGGTCACAATGGCGGTGCGTCCTTGTCCGTTCATGCCAGCACGCTCGATCACCTCTAATCCCCAGTCGCTCCAGAACATGAGACCAGACTCTGGGTCCACAGCGATGGCTAGGGGCTCGTCAAGGTTGCTGGAGATCAGAACGGTGTGCCGGGTGCCTTCAAAGTTGGACACAACGATGTTGTCGACACCAGTGTCGGTCCAGTATAGGAGCCTGTTGATCCAGTCCACAGCAATGCCATCAGGAATCTTCACTTTGTCAGTCACAATCACAGGTTCTACCTCATTCTCTGCTTGCAGTTGGGTTCTTTAATGAGATCAGATATGGCTTAATAAATCACACCTTCATCGAACCACATCAAGTCATTCCGAATGCTATTTCATAATTTTATTGATAACGACTTTCTTAAAAAGGACATCACAAGCTATTTACATTACCAATGTAAGTTCAGTCATAACATATTGCATCTAATATCAATCATTGCCTCATATGAAGGTATATCTCGTCTGCTAAATATCAAACAGCAATAACTTCAAAATGATCATTCAACCTCATCTGCTTGTTGCTATTATTTATCGTTTTTGCTGATCCTAAAAGAGTCATATTAAACTCATGTGTCCAACCTGCATGTGTCTTATGAGATATCGCAGAAAATGTAATTATCCTTTAATTACTTGCAGGGGCGGCGATCCCGGGAGTACGGGGACGTGGGGATCTCCCCCCCCCCCCCGGAAAATTTGAAAAAAGTACCTTTAAAAAATGAATAGCAAATACTGACTAAAGACTGCGACACACTTTTAGGCGCTTGAGGGCCCAGAGTGCAGCGTTTGACTAATAAAAATGCAAAAATCTTCTCGCTCGGTCGCTACAGCCACTACGCTCCCTCGCATAATACCCCTCAAAATGTGCAAGTAAGTATTGTAGAAAATCTGTATTCCGTTGGTATCACGTAAGCACAGTTTACACTATGCTTCCTCGTGCCTCGCATTCCCCAGTCATGAAAAGAAATTGCCGCCCCTGCTTACTTGGCCACTACTTCCAGTCCGACATCCGTCCAGAAAACGGTATTTGACGCTGAATCAAATTCAACAGCCATCGCACTGTGGAGGGACCTCTTGATGTAATCTTCAGAAGATGTACTAAGGTCAAAGATGCGGATGTCAAGTCGGTTGGAGATGAGAAGCTTTGGGGCACCAAACTCCGGGTTGGCCTTGCAGTGCCCACGGCCGTTGACGTGCTCCAGGGTATAGTTCTCATCACAGTCACACTTGTAGGATCCTGGAAGGTTGTAGCACCGTTGACTGCAGATACCTAGTGTGGTCTTGCATTCGTTGATGTCCACACACTGTGTCTCATTTACAAGTGCGTAGCTTGCATTACAGGTACACACATGACCGATGGCAAGGTAGAGACACGTATGGCTGCAGCCACCGTTGTTTGTCAGGCATTCATTTCTTCCTACAAAGAAGAAATATAGACAAAAAGGTAAGCTTTTATTTAAAATAAAATTGGTTATAGTCTACCTCCAAACAATTTTTAAAATTTACTTTAATGTTTGAACATTTTAACTTGGGAGTTATGGACAGATGTGGTGAATTAATTCCAAGTGTAGTGCGAAGTGCTTGCTCCAAGCACAGTATCTATCTGGAAGCGTTACTGCTTACTCAGAATGCTTTATGGAGTAGAAATACTACACTTGACCAAGAAGATGCTTTCTGATCTTGACAGAATCCAGTGTCATCTCTTTAATCTATTCTTGGTCTTCCACGCAGCACAGCCTATGAGGCGGTCTCCTTGCTCACCAACCCCCCCCCCCCCCCCAGTGTCAGACGAGGTATAGGCAAGCTCTTTTTTCGGCTCCCCGGTAAAGTCCTACTGCTGCCTCGTGACAGATTCGAAAGACGACTTCTTGTGAATGCTTTGTGCCAGATGCCATCCTGCCCTACCATCAAGAGTTTAGATGACAAGCTCACGCAATACCAACTCCCTCCTCTTGAAGAGCTTATCAGCTCTCCACCTCCTCCCCACACCTGGAAGCTGATGGTGAGAAATGCCATAAAAGAGGTGAGAGCTGACCTCACAGAAAAAGCTGTAAACTCAAAGTATACTCTCCAGCTCCTATCCAACAACCATGACCAAGCGCATAAACTTCTTCCATAAACCATTCACCCACCTAGACTGAGACAGCTAGTTCCCATCAAGGCGCAGGTACTGAGTGGCGTATACCCCACCAACTCTAGTATACACACCATCAACCCAGATAACAGCTCCTGCTGCGCATGTGGAGATCGAGACAATCATCCACGTGGTGGGTGAGTGCCCGCTCTACAGTGCGCTCAGAGACAGCTTTATCGCTCACTGGCAAAGACGCTGGGAGAGCCATTATTCTAATACAAAAACGAAGGGTGAATGCTTCACAAAACTATCGTTACTTGGCTCCTGCTCTCACACCTCTCTTTCCGCCTGGATCAATCCCTCACTTTTTCACGATCTCTCTCTCAGTTTCGTACTTGACCTCCACGTTAAACGCTCCACTATGTGATGTCACTGTAAACCCACCTATCCTTGGTATATGTGTACTACCAACACCAGCACCAACTGCATTTCTCCAAACTGGAGGAAGCCAAGCAAAGAAGATGAAGTATCAATAGTTACATTGTCCATTAGAGACCCCCTGATCTGAAATTAATTCAATTGAAATACTTGCCACATATTTCTTGTCCTGGTTCATCCTCGTTGTTTGGGCATTCAGGGATGCCGTTACACACACGTACCATCGGCAGACAGGTAGAGTTGGAACACCTGAAGTGAGTGGTTGGATTACACTCTGCAGGCGCTGTGTAGGAAGATAAAAACTGGGTATTAACTTCATGGAAAACAAAATAGTCTGCCCCAATCCGATATCACCATGATTGTAAACGAGACATATATTTACCATTCAGCTGTGTATTCTCCCATTTTGCATTATTCATTTATATCCACCTCAGTAGAGGTCGATCTCTAAATCTAATCATCAATCTGCATTCAATGGACAGTGTAATTAATTATGACTTATTCTCCAACAACAATTTTGTATAACTACGAATAATGTACAAGATGAGATGCCGTTACTCACCATTACAGTTTGCTTCGTCACTACCGTCAGCACACTGCTGGGTACCATCACATTCCACATCTCCTGGAATACAAACACCGTTGTCACATTGGAATTCAACAGCAGCACAGGGGCTCGGTGTAACAAGTGCTGTCAGGGGGGCAAACATTTACTTGGTTAATTTCATATCTCATGAGGAGGACTTTCATCTTTCATCATATGCAAATTGTTTTATTTCCATTTATTCTGGACTAAAACTGACTATAGATCTACAGCAATATGATTTGATTAAGAGTTCCTAAATAGTTATGATATTACAATTTTAAGTTTTGACGTTTTTTTAAATAGAAAGATACAAGAGTGGGTAAACGTACGACAAGAATCTTCATCTGATCCATCAAAACAGTCCCTCTCTCCATCACACTTCCATGAATTATGGACACACTCGCCGCTGGTACATTGGAAATGTCCTGCAGAACATTGCACAGTATGCCCTGAGCAGTGGGTGCTTGACTCGTCAGATCCATCGCGGCAATTAATGTCCCCATCACACTTCCATCTGTTGGGGATGCAGGTGGTTTCGTTGGTGCCTGTGCACTCAAACTCGTCTGGGGCACATGTTAGACTGGGGCAGTTGATCTCATCTGAACCATCCCCACAATCGTTGTCTCCATCGCAGACCCAAATAGTTTTAACGCAATTCATGTTTTTGCATGTGAACTGGTTTGACGCACACGCCACTGCATCTATTAAGATGAACAGAAGGGGCAAATAGTAAACAAGAACATCTTTCATTGAGAAATTGATACAAAAAAATCTGCAGTTTTTCTTAATAATGTACAATCCATTATCTAAACTGTTTAAACCACGTACGACAAGAATCTTCATCTGATCCATCGAAACATTCCCTCTCTCCATCACACTTCCATGAATTATGGACACACTCGCCACTGGTACATTGGAAATGTCCTGCAGAACATGGCACATCCAGGACCAAAATCCAATTGAAACCAGTTGAAATCTCCAACTGGTTTCAATTGGTTTCAACTGGTTTCAATTGGTTTCAATTGGTTTCAATTGGAATAGAAAATTTCCAGTTGAAACCAGTTGCCGAACTGGAAAATATTGATATGGGTACTCATTTCCAGTTCAAACCAATAAGAAGTGCAACTGGAACCAGTAAGATAATTTTTCCAGTTACTCAATAGGTTCCAGTTAGAAGTCATTTCCAGTTACCCAACTGGTTCCAGTTAGAAGTTCAACTGGAAACAGTAAGATGATTTTCCTGTTACTCAATTGGTTCCAGTTAGAATTAATTTCCAGTTACCCAACTGGTTCCAGTTAGCATTCATTTCCAGTTAGAAGTCATTTCCAGTTACCCAACTGGTTCCAGTTAGCATTCATTTCCAGTTACCCAACTGGTTCCAGTTAGAATTCATTTTCAGTTACCCAACTGGTTCCAGTTAGAATTCATTTCCAGTTACCCAACTGGTTCCAGTTAGCATTCATTTCCAGTTAGAAGTCATTTCCAGTTACCCAACTGGTTCCAGTTAAAATTCATTTCCAGTTACCCGACTGGTTCAAGTTAGCATTCATTTCCAGTTAGAAGTAATTTCCAGTCACCTAACTGGTTCCAGTTAGAATTCATTTCCAGTCACCCAATTGGTTCCAATTGGAAAATATTTCCAGTACTCAACTGGATCCAATTGAAACCAGTTAATTAGCTTGGGTGATGGCGACTGGCTGAGCAACACACGTGCGTCTTAACCTCTCCAAAAGATATATTTGTATACACTCTAGATAACATCTTCAAACAATCCACAAGTGGCAATTATTCCTGAAAGGTTTACTTCTCAATTGGAACATTTTAGTTTTCCATCATGACCCGCCGTAGCCAGAAAGAAGGAGCAAAGAAAGCCAACAAGAATGAGGGAGCAAACTTCTCCATCTTAGACGATGAGCTGGATGGTGCTGCTGCCGCTCCTAACGGGCCAGCTGAAACCTCAAATCCCGTAGAGGAAGATGACTTGGGCTCTGTCACCCCGTCTGCACTAGCTGAATATATTAAAGGTGCATCATGCAACTTCGAACAGATGATGAACAAGGCTATGAAAAATATGTTGGAAAGTCTTCAGAAAGTGGAAAAGGCCCTTGAATTTGAGGGTCTCCGGATCAATGATCTAGAACAGAAGAACAAGGAGCTGAAAAGCAGACTAGGAAAGATGGAGAAAGCTTATAATGATCTGGAACAGAGAGTTAGTAATCAAGATCGTGAAGCCAACAAGGCTGAACGATTCTCTCGGAGAAATAATCTGCGGATCGTCGGGATTGAGGAATCAACAGGCGATCAAACAGAGGATTGTGTCGTGAAAGTGGAAGACATCCTCAGTACGAAATTTAACATGAACATCAAGGTTGAGCGTGCTCATCGTGATGGGAAGAAAGGAGATAAGCCACGACACATTTTGGTCAAGACATTGTCAATACGTGAGAAGGTCGACATCATGAAGAAGTCAAGGGAGGCCCTAAATAAGGAGAAATACTACATTGTCGATGATCTGACGCTGGCAGACCTTACAGAAAAGAAGAAGTACAAAAACAAGTACAAGATCTGTTCATGAAGGGAACTAAACTACGCTTTTATGCAGGAGTTTGGAGGGGTGATGGAGGTGTTCCTTATTTCTCTGCTTAAATTTAGTTTTACTATAGTGCGACTTTAACTGACCACCCACTAGCTGGCTCAAGGACACAACTTTCTGTTTTATTTGATTTATGGCTTACTTCTCAGAAATGAGTCATGGCTCCTTGCATGTTATCAGCACATGTGTGCTCTTGCTCTCTTCTTCATTTTACCTCCTCTATTCCATTGCTACTAAAATTCTTCATGTGATTTGTGTTAGCTGTATTTTCACATTTTAATGTTTTTAGGAGTGTTTTGGCAGTTACTTTTACTACTGTTAACATTAATTTCTCTTAACATATAGTTTCAATTATGTTTGTATTTAATTATATTTTATTTTTTAAGACTTGCACCCATTCCCCGACCCCCTTTTCCTGCTATCATGCATTTTGTAGACACATTTCTGTTATTATGTCATGGACAATATATTCTTTGATGTTTCATGTAACTATATATTATGTTCAATATTGATGAATTGAATGAATCATTGGATGACAAAGTGGATTGTAAATATTATCTTCCTCATGAATTTAATTCAAGATTTGAGAGTGAAAATAATTCCTTTAGCTTATTACATACAAATGCACGAAGTCTTGTTAAAAAATTATGAATATCTGAACATTCTGCTGTCGGCCCTCACCAAACCGTTTTCAGTCATAGGAGTCACAGAAACGTGGCTTAATGATACATCTCCATCTACTTTATGTAATATTGACAATTATTCGATTGTACGTTCTGATAGAAAAACCGGAAGGGGTGGTGGAGCTGCTATGTTTATCTCAAACTTGTTAACATACAAAATTAGATCTGACCTTAGTTTGAAGAGTGATGGTACTGACTCGATATGCATTGAAATCAATATGGCTCAAAGGAAAAACATCTTGATATGTACAATATATAGGCCTCCGCATACAAATGTTGAATTATTTTTGGATGAGTTTGATAGGATGCTGCATAAGGTCAATCTAGAAAATAAGGATGTTTACTTGATGGGTGATTTTAATATTGATCTTTTGCAGGAAGATAATACTTTTCATAATATGTTACAATCAAATTCATTCAATGCCATGATTGATAAACCAACCAGATTGGCAAATAACTCTTCTACATTGATAGATAACATTTTTACAAATGTCACCAATAACTATATAGGCTCTGGCCTCTTGTATAGTGAAATCTCTGACCACCTTCCAATTTTCCTGATTTGTAATCATGTTCGCAATTATCCTGAGGATGAAAAGAATCAAGCTATGATACGTAAAATCACAGCTGAAAAAATAGCCATGTTTAATGACGAACTACTCAAAGTAACATGGAATGACGTGGTCGCATGTACTGACACCAATAAGGCATATGCACTTTTTTGGAACTTGTTCTCCTCTCTTTTAAATAAACATATTCCAATGACTAAAAAAAGATCGGCAAGAAATAGAATCAAGCAGCCATGGATAACTAAAGGTATCTTTTGCTCTATTAAAAAACGGAATAGATTATATAAATATAGTCTTCGACACCCAGGAGAGGAAAGCTTGAATAATTACAAATCATATAGGAACAAACTAACCACCATTATTAGACAGTCTCGACAAATGTATTTTGCCAAGCAGTTTGAAAATGCAAATGGAAATGCATCATCAACGTGGAATGTGATCAATCAAGCCCTCAAAAAACAAAAGAGTAAATCAAAGTGTCATATTACCAAAGATAATAATACAATGGTTGATTCAAAAGAAATAGCAAATTGCTTCAATGCTTACTTTGTTGGGGTTGGCCCCAATCAGGCCAATACAATAGCTTCGAACGGAGTCGACTTCTCACAATTTCTTCAAACTCCCTGCAACAAGTCATTATTTCTCAAACCAACAAACTTGATTGAAATCTTGAATATTGCACGTTCTCTTAAAATAAGCTATGCTAACGGTCATGATGGGATAAGCACATATCTTTTGAAACAAGTTATAGGAAATATAATAACCCCACTAGTGCATATTTTTAATCTCTCTCTGACGACAGGTACATTTCCAGAAGCATTTAAGATTGCTAAGGTTGTTCCGATATACAAAAAGGATGACTCTTCCCAAGTCTCAAACTATCGCCCTGTTTCTATTCTCTCGAGTTTGTCCAAAGTATTGGAAAGACTTATATACAATAGGCTATATTGTTTTCTAACAGAAAATGACTTACTGAATCAGGATCAATATGGTTTCAGGAAATACCACTCAACCGATTTAGCCCTTGCACAATTATATGATAAGGTTTCGAATGCTTTGGCGTCTCGAAAGCATGTTATTGGTGTATTCATGGACTTAAGCAAAGCATTTGACACTCTTGATCACAAGGTACTATCAAGCAAACTTCATTATTACGGAGTAAGAGGAGTTGCTCTTGACTGGTTTAATGATTATTTGTCAGGTAGAAAGCAATATGTAAGCTACGAATCTGTAGATTCATCATTATTGCCTATGAAATGTGGTGTCCCACAAGGATCGATACTCGGTCCTTTATTGTTTCTACTGTATGTTAATGATATCTCGAACTCAACTACATCATTACAATATATTGTATTTGCTGATGATACTAATGTGTTTTGCTCCAATTCCGATTTTCGATCACTTCAGAGAATTCTGAACACCGAGCTACCTAAGCTGTCTTTGTGGTTTAGGAGCAACAAATTGTCTCTGAATCTGAAAAAAACTAATTATATTCATTTTCAAAGCAGGAAAAATGCAACTGATAAACCTATACCTGAAATAGTCTTGGATGGTGAATATTTGGAGAAAAAACAAAATACTAAATTTCTTGGAACTATCATCAATGAAAATCTGAAATGGAGTGATCATGTACATTACGTTTCAAAGAGAGTGTCACGCACTGTTGGTTTACTGTATAAGTTAAAACATTATGTGCCTTTGAATATTCTATATATGCTATACAATTCCTTGATTCTTCCTTACATGTCTTATTGCAATATACTGTGGGCAGACTCAAAAGTATATACTGATAAAATGCTACTTTTACAAAAGAAAGCGATTCGTGTGTGTACCAATGCTGGATATCGCGATCACACTGATCCCCTATTCGCGAGGTTAAAAACTCTGAAAGTAACTGATATTAACTTTTTACAAAAAGCACTGTTCATGTTCCGTCTACATAATGATTCCCTACCTTCCCACTTCCCACCAATGTTTTGTTTGAATAGAAATATTCATACATACCCAACCAGACAATCAAATAAATACCATTTATGTAATCCTAAAACAACAATGGCTATGAAATCTATAAGACATTCTGGTCCGGATATTTGGAACTCACTGTCCGTTGACATCCGTAACTTGAAGTCAGTATATACTTTCAAGAAAAGTGTGAAATCAATTTTATTGAGCAAATATTGACAAATCTCTTAAATTAACACATGATATCATATATGTTTGTCAGCATTTCCTTGATATAGCAGGAAAATCCCCCTCCCATGCACCCTCTATCCCATTTTTTTTTTTTTGGTTGCAAGTCACTGTTTATTTTTTGTTATTTTCCCCCAATTATGTTCTGTAATTTACTTTACTTTACAATCGTTATGATTTTAAATGTTTCTGGGCTGCAAGCGTATCAAGCTGTCACGCTTAGGCTGTAGCCCTTCTGTATCATCACCTCTTCGAGCGTATGTATCTATGATTTACTGAATGTGGAAATGTAATTTAACTTATGTTTTATACTCATGTAAAGACATTGTCACATTATTGTTATAACCTATGATGATTCAGTAACCAATAAATATTTCAACTATATTTCAACTATATTATCTGCTTGTGTGCAGATCAATGTTTTATGTAATTTATTTTGATTTACAATGCATTATTAATTAATTTTCATTTGCAAGTAATGCATTTGTTTAAGATAAATATAAAGATTAATTAGCAATGATAAGCATGTTCATTAGTAACATATTTTTGTAATTACACAGATTAAAAGTTTATTAGTAAAACACTAACTATGTACAAAATACATCAAATACAAACATATATAATGGCAATGCCTTCCTTGTTAAGTATATTATATGATCTGCATATTATAATGCCCTTTACATTGTACTTAATGTAGACACATATAACAATGCTTCTGTGTTGACATGAGCGATAATTAGTGCAAGAGCTAATTAACTTATAACTAATTAAGTTTATGCCAACTGTAAGTTTCAATTGGATCTAATTGAAACCAATTGAAACCAGTTGAAACCAATTGAAACCAGTTGAAACCAGTTGGCAACTGGTTTCAATTGGTTTTGCTCCAATTGGTTTCAACTGGATTTTGGTCCTGGGCAGTAGGACCTGAGCAGTGGGTGCTTGACTCGTCAGATCCATCGCGGCAATCAATTTCCCCATCACACTTCCATTTGTAGGGGATGCAGGTGGTTGCGTTGGTGCCTGTGCACTCAAACTCGTCTGGTGAGCATGTTAGACTGGGGCAGTTGATCTCATCCGAACCATCCCCACAATCGTTGTCTCCATCGCAGACCAAACGAGATGCAACGCACTTCTCGTTGTTGCAGGTGAACTGGTAAGACGCACAGGTCACTGCATCTATTAAGATAAACAGAAGGGGGAAAATAGTAAACAAGAACATCTTTCATTGAGAAATTGATACACAAAATCTGCAGTTTTTCCTAATAATGCACAATTTATGATCTAAATTGTTTAAACCACGTTTAGTTACTTCCACTTACCACTTCAAAGGCAAAATAATACAAAAATTAAGCAAGCAACAACAACAACAAAATACAAAAAGCAGAACAAGCCAGGATTGTTTCTATAACACAAACGTTATTATGAGATAGAGCCTACCGCAATTGTGCTCATCAGCTCCAGATGGGCAATCTACATCACGATCACACGTCCATGTCAGGGGAATACAGTTCATACCAGGACCACAGCTGAACTGGCTAGGAGAGCAGGTCATGGTCTCTGTTCAGTAAAGAAGAAAGATTGCAATGGTTAAGGAACAAACCACACAAAAAAACGGTAATACATTGTCATGTCAATGAACAAGTTCAAAGAATTGCGTTGTAAGAAAAGAAATGTACAAGTCGACGCAAAGCGTAGCATACCCTCGCCGTTCCTTCTTAACAAATTTCATTAAAATTCGTCAAACATTACTAGAGTTTCCGAGCTAGCGGAAACCACATTGTCGTATACCTAATTAGCTTTTCCGCATGTTCAATGAGCTGTGACCTTTGCCCTTTGACCTTTGATCTAGATATTCCGAAATCAGACTTAGGCTGTGTTTTTGTAACATGTAACTTCATATCAAATTTCCTTAAAATCCGTAAAATATTACTAAATTTATTAAACGGAAATCAGATTTGTTTGCAATTTATTGAGCTATGACCTTTGACCTTCATACTCCTAAATTGAACTTAGCTGTACTTTGATACCATGTACGGGGTACCTTCATATCAAATTTCATTGAAGTTCGTCAAACATTACTAAAGTTATCGAACGGAAACCAAATTTTCAATTAATCAGCTTTTGTCCGCATATTTAATGAGCTTGGAGCTTTGACCTTTGACCTACATACTACGAAATCGCACTTAGGCTGTGTTTGATACCATGTAGCTTTATATCAAATTTCATTAAAATCCACCAAACATTACTAAACTTATTGAACGGAAACCAGATTTGTTCGCATATTTAATGAGCTATAACCGCTGAACTTTGACATACATACTCCCAAATCAAAACTTAGGCTGTTTTATGATACTATGTAGGTTACCATCATATCCAATTTTATTAAAATCCGTCAAACATTTCTAAAGTTATCGAACCATATAAAAACGTATGGAGCTATAGACAGTGCGCCCCAGAAAGAAAGAAAAACCGAGAATTATCGATGTTTTATTTGTATTATTTGTGAAGCTTTAAATTCTACTGAAGAAGGGTATACAACAGCAGGTACATAGAGTTTAAAAATCTGGGGGCATGCCGGGGGGTGTAGGATTTACAGTGTATTCTATGCAAATTATCTATGTCTAGTTCATATACACAATCGGAGATTTATGAGGATATTTATGGCCATCCCCCAAGAGATGCTGATGTACAGGTTCAAGAAACTCCTTTGAGAATCTTCATACCTCATTTTAAATAGTATTGTTTGCTAACTCATTACTTGTTACGACTTTCACATTGTTTCAGTGTCAAAGGTTTACTTACGACAGGTATCTTCATCTGATCCGTCCGGGCAGCGACTTTGCGTTTTACACCCTGGCCTGGACCTTTTCCCAATAAATTTCAAGGAACCGACTGGGAAAAGTCTATCCATGACAAGATATTGCGCGCGCACGTAGCTCTTCTGCAATGCTCAACGTACGTCCTATATGTCCAGTGTCGCGGTACGCGGTACATGTACTTTTGTATCGAGACGTACGAGTGAGAGAAAAACAACGAATAACAACAGAAGGAAATAGAGAAAAACAATAAATAATTAAAGAACAGAGAGGAAACAAAGAATGTCATAAGCAGAGAGAGAAAACAAAAACTAACTTGAAAGAAAGAGAGAAATTAGAGAAGGAATTAATCAAAGTAAGGAAAGAGAGAAACCAAATAATATTATGGTTTTTGTGGTTTAATTCCGCCTTCTTCAGGGTTTCAATTTTTGACGTGTAGCCTACTTTCAAACCATTTGCTGATTCGGACCCCCCCCCCCCCCCCTAACACACGTGTACACATATCGACACATACACAGACTACACTCGACATAATATGTGTAATGGTAATGTAATACATAAACTGTGATTTAAATATTGCACTCGTACCATTTTCTATTATTGTGGGATCACGTCTTTCATTTTTTAAATTCATGTCATTTGTTTCTAAGACCTATTTCTCTAATTCTCTTGACCCCTCTCCCTTCATATTTGTTTTCTAAGACCTCCCCAAGCTTCTTAACTTGTTGTTCTGAACTTGAAATCCTATATCTTCTCCCTTAATCTTCAGTATTGCAGCTGCGTACGGTGTGTATAAATGCTGCATCGACGTACGTCTGTGCATGTACGATTCGATTTGGAACTGGCGCGCCCGATCGAGGAGCGTAGACTAGACTCATTCAAGTAGTTTCATTGCTATTTACCGGGAAAATGTCCAGGCCAGGGTGTAAAACGCAAAGTCGCGTCCGGGCAGTCACTGTCACCGTCACAGCGCCATCTTGCTGGAATACATGTTGAGCCTCCGTTACCTGCTCCTGAATCAACGCATTCAAACTCTGCAGAGCTACATGCCAGTTGGCCTATACAGTGAAATCAAAGAAGGAAACAAATGAAAATTAAATTTAAAACCATTATATTTGTCATCTACTATAATGTACTTGTTTATTTATTTTATTTTATTTTATTTATTAGTCTTTTTTTAGTAGGGTGGCTCCATCAGTAGTTCAATACTATTTTCCGTGGAGGCCCTACAACATAAATACAAAATTAACAAACATATTGAAAAACAAACAATCCAAATCGAAACAAAGTGAATTAATTTACAACATTTTCGAACAAAAGAAAAGAAACAAACACAACACAATGGACCAGTTCAATGATTTAAATTATTATAGCGCCAAAACAAAAGAGTAAATGAAGAATTTGATGGTGCATTTTTTTAAAAATTAGGTAAAGTATACCAGAAAGCCGCACCATCAAATGAAAAACTTTGTTTCCCCATCTGGGTTTTTATTTTGGGTTACTTTGCTCCATCCATGTGTAATTATTAACTATCTTCAAACATTCTCACTCGTTAAGATACTTATTTGAAAAGAAAAGGAACACGTGTCAAAGTACAAATGCTAATTATTAGAGGTGAAAATGGGGCACTTCTTAACCTACAAAAAGAGGCGCGCATTAGGAATGAAAAGGGATTTTATGAGAATGGGAAATGGGCATTTGTCGACGGAAAAGAGGCTCCCATCAGATTTTGATAGGGGCATTTATAAGAAGTAAAAATGGGCATTTATGAAAAAGGGATAGGTTCCTCATTAGAAAGGATAAAGGGGGCACATATCATTGATAAAAGCGTTATTAGCAGAGGTGAAAAGGGGCACTTATCGCATCTGAAAGGGGCACTGACCATACATGAAAAGAGGCACGTGTGAGAATGAAAAAAAGGGCACCAATGATAAAGGGAAATGTGCATTTGTTGAAAGAAAAGGGGCATCTATCAGATTTTAATAGGGTCATTATCGGAGGTGAAAGAGGGCTTTTATAAGAAGGGGGAAGTGGCTCTTATTAAAATGAAAAAGAGACATATGTTAAAATAAACGGGGCACTTATCAAACATGAAATTATAATAAGGGGAAGGGGCACTTATAAGAAGGAAACAGATTATTTATTAGGAAGGAAAAGGGGGACGTGTCAAAATAAAAGGGGCATTAATAACAGATGAAAAGAGCACTTATCAGGAGGGGAAGGGGCAGTTGTCGAAGTAAAACGAGTATATCTCAGAATTGAATAGGGTCATTTACAAGAGATGAAAAGGGGCGCGTATTCCATCATTATGGGTTTTTAAAAAAATGACTAAAATTGAAAGGAATTGTTGAGGAAAGTAATCCAAAGCATGCAAAAAACAGAATTTGTCCCACCCACACGCGCAAAATTCATAAAGGTCATTAATTTTTGAGTGGAGCTTATTTTGGCTTTAAATGGATCCGTACAACATAGCAGAGTTTTTTTTTTTTTTTTTTTAAATAAAGAAAGACAAATCTAATTAAGCTTTTTGTCAAACTTACCACACACTGTCTCATCGGAATTGTCTCCACAGTCGTCTTCATTGTCGCACTTCCATATACTTTGAATGCAATTGTTGTTGTCGCATTGGAACTGATTTTCTCCACACAGATTTCCTACATAGAAACAAATAAGATGTAGAAAGTAATACAAAAATAACAAATGAAATATTCAAACTAAAATCAAGACTTTTCAATAACTTGTATATTAGATCTAGCGTTTAAATGGGGAAATCTATGAACCGATTGGGTCTGATTTCATCCATCTGCATCTTTTGACTGGAATCATGCCGATCCTCCGTCAGACTGAATGTGAGAGTGAATTGAGAACAGCCTATTCAGGCATGATTTTCTACCCTAAATTTACCGCCATTTAATTTTAAACTGTTAAGATTCCTTACATGGGTTCTAGAACGTACAGATAACTGCATGATTATGTACATCTTAAAGGGGGTGGAGCATGACAAGACTACGTTTCTTTCCCGTGGCCTGACTCGGGGCCAACTCCGGACGACGCGACCGCAGTATTCACGTGCGCGCATTTTTGAAATTTGTGAGAGACCAAAATCTATATGTCAACTAGTATTTGTACCGATTTTTCCAAAATATTTGACAGATTGGATCACAATATTTTGATTAGGAAATGGATTGATCTCAATGTCAGACCATTTATTATAAATTGTGCAATAAGTTTTTTAGAACAACGATGTCAGTGTGTAAAATATCAAAATGTTTTTTCTGAATATGTAACCACCCATGCCGGGGTTCCTCAAGGTACGAAGTTAGACCCAATTTTATTTCTAATTATGTTCAATGATGCTTGCCAAGATCAATCGTTGTTATATTTTAAATATGTTGATGATCTTACTCTACTTGAAGGTCGAACTTTACTAAAGCAATCAATAAAATATTACAACATTTATTAGATAATTTATTAGAATGGACAGAAAGTAATCACATGAAACTAAACCCCCCAAAAAATGTACTGCAATGAGAATTACATTCATGAGTATTGGTGAGTCACAATTGTCAAATGTAAAATCTATACAAAATTCTGGGAACTTTTTAGCTGCTGCATGTACATCATTAACTTGTATTCTATGTTTTTCGAAATAAACCTTGAATTGAATTGAATTGAATACGCGAAACCGAAGCGTGAGGAGAACTTCGGTCTGTTTCGCGAACGCTAGCGCGCTGACCGTTAATCAAGTCCATTCGTTTACGAGCAGTTGTCCAAAAGAAGTCGTAGATGGTGTTAACCAGTATTTGCCATGCTACACCCCCTTTAACAGATCCAGACCAAGTCTAGGCCAAGTTGCAAACAAAATTGTGAAATGAAACTCACCGTTCGCGGCCGAAAATACACAGGCTAACGATCCCATCAGGATCAGACTTAGCGTGTACGTTCCCATTATATATCCACGTAATTTCTCTTGATAGTTGATGCTCATGTAATATAGCTCCAATGGTGTAATACAGTAGACATAAAATGATAAAGATCTTGCTTATCTAGATCACGAGAGTAAAAAAAAGTCGTCCGCTCGCTTTGAAGTTATTTGCTGAATCTGCCGGTAGAATTCACTGATGGCCGCGTAAGCGATATGCCGGTCTTTCCCCCCCCCCCTTTTTTTCTTCTCAAATTCTTCAGTAAATCATCCACTTTCATATAATTTTCTTCGAGCTGAGCAGTGTAATTTTGTGAGAGAAACTCTAAAAGCATAACTTGAGTACTAGCATCCACAGTCACGATTCACAACTAAGTACTGAGGCATGTCGCAATGATAAATAAACAAGTTTCAACATGGGTAATCATTCGTTAAAGGTAAGCCTCCCGATTTTCCCACGATAGAAAGGCCTGTAAACCTATTGTCGATCCCACCATTATATGTTATGTTATATTTATGTTGTACTCTTGTTTGTCTTTCGATTTTAGATAAACTTGAAATGAATTGAACAGAATTGAACTTATTCTGCACCTAAACCTTTCCGGTGAACTATCGTTATGTTTATTTTTCATCCCCAGGAGCAAAATCTCATAAACATGTGATATCCTGGCTCCATAATCCTCGTGATAATGTTCTTCTAAAGCAACAAGGAAGTAATAAAACGGATTTTTTTTTTTCTTCACGTAACAAGTACGTACATTCTCACGTGAAACAGAAAGGGCTTAAATTGTTCATATTCCCTGGTGAATATTATCTTACCAATGACAGGAGGAGGGTAAGGGCAGGGCTTTGTGGGAATGATTTATTGTATGGTTACTAGGGGAGGAGCACAACTGACGTCCGAAAATTCCAGATCAACAAAAACTTACCAAACAAAATATGGAAATTAAAACAAATGAGAACACAAAAGTCAAACCATCAATCAAAAAAATATCACCTCGATCCCGGAGGCGGGAGGGTGGGGGGGGGGGGAACCTTCACATTCGGCTCGAAGGTCCACGAGTAGAAGGGGGAAGGTAGGACTCTGTGAGACCCCAGCTCTTATCTTGGTCACGAGAGCGAGCCACAGTCTTGTGGCACAAGAAAACAGAAAAAAGGTAAATTACTTAAATTACACATGTATCTATCGTTATTCCTATCGACATGGATATTAAAATAAGCCTTGAGGATTTCGACTTGTATTATATAGGCCTACTTAAACTGAGTATAAGTGCCATTCTAACTCTCGTCATGGTCAGGGAATCCACTCAAGGAAATCAGTCTGCACGCAAAGACTACGCTTTGACACTTTACCACAAAATTCATAAAGCATTCAACAGCCCTGGCGTATTGATGGGAGGGTTGGGGGGGGGGGGGGGGCTTGGGGTGTGGCAGTTCCACCCCCAAAAAAAATAATTCACAAGTGGTTTATTTCTAATTCGATACTAGGTATTTAAAAATGTTGCTGAAGTGACATGATTTTCTGGGTTGTTTTTCTCTCCTTTAATTCGTTGACAATTATATTATTTTATGGTGCGGATTTTGTCCTGCTCTCCTAAATTTTTTTTTTGCTCATTACGCCACTGGAGTCTAGATCTGCCAGTCTCTGGCTGCCTCAAATAATCTAAGTAGAGCCGTTGCAGTATGCCCTCAGCGTAGTCTCACTGTGCAGACACTGTTACGCACAGCGGCAGGCAAGGCTTTGTATCTGCAAACTATCAGGACATCTGCCTAGCACAAGTAGGCCTGCAGCAAAGATAGTACACTTTGTTTGCGAGATTATGGCTGGGGACTTTCACCATATTGTGACAAAGTAGGCCTAGGTCAAATACGAGGTGCAGGGCAATATTATTTTCCTGTTATTTTGACCTCTCACGATCTTTCTTTTTTTTCATCCGGAAGTAGAGGTCATCTCAGATGATCTAGGGATCAACAGATTCTACAAAAGTCCCAGGGAACTAATGAAAATGTATATATTACAAAGAGAGAGAGAGAGAGAGAGAGAGATTGAGAGGGGTAGGGATAGAGAGAGAGAGAGAGAGAGAGAAAGAGAGAGGAGAGATGGGGGAGGGAGGGAGAGAAAGAGAGAGAGAGAGTGAGAGAGGGGAGAGAGAGGGTCAGAGAGTGGTATATTTGGTATCATTCGAAAGGACATTTCATTGAGGTCAGTTTGACTTGGTCATCTGCGCACATAGTACCGCAAGCATTTAAAGGGCTGTTAAGTAATGCAAAGTTAATTCATTGTTTTCGGCGATAACTTTGCGATGACGTCAGGGGCGGCCGAGCGACTTCAAAAGTGGGGGGGGGGGGGGCACCAACAAAAAAGGGCACTTTCTGGAGAAAAAAAAGGGCACCTACATTGGGAAATCTCAAAGCGAAAATATACCATTTTTTAGACATTAATTGGTATATACCCCTACATTGTGATTACATTATCAGGGATGATATTATTATTTGTTTCTCTTCATACATCATACAAGATATCGCTTAAGCATCATACTGTACAGTTGGGTGTGATGTCTGAATATGCATTTACGAGCGAGCGAAGTGAGCGAGAAAATTTTTAAAGATCTGTGAGGTCGCAGTGCGAAAAATTACATCTTATAAAGAGGAAAAAAGCCAATCGTGATGGGGTTATAAGCACATTCTCATAACGGAAGACTGAAAAGACCTTTGATAATTAACATTATTATATCATCTTTAAATACGAGCGAGCGAACTTTGGGGGAAATTGCTCTTAGTCGCTTTAAATAAGGGGCACGTTTAATGATTACATGAAAAGGGGGCAATTATCGAAAGGGATAAAACACTTATTAGAAAAGAAAAGGAGCACGTGTCAAAGTACAAAGGATAATTATAAGAGGTGAAAATGAGACATTTTTTCACCTGAAAAGAGGCACTCACCAGTGATGAAAAAAGAGGCGTTTACGAAAATGGGAAATAGGCATTTGTTGACGGAAAATGGGCACCCATCAGATTTTGATAGAGGCATTTATAAGTAAAAGGGGCACGTATCATTATTAAAAGGGGAATTATCAGAGGTGAAAAGGGGCACTTCTCGTACCTGAAAAAAGGCAATGTAAAAGTAAAAGGGGCACTTATAATAAAGGAAAATGTGCATTTGTTGAATGAGAAGGGGGCACTTATTAGAAAGGGAAAGGGGTAGTTATGAGAAGGGGAAGGAGAAAAAAGAGAAAAGGAAAGAGGGAACATAATTATGTCATGAAAATGTCATTGACATTTTCATTAACAATGTCTTTAATGAGATATGAAGCGAACAAAATCCGTACAGAAAGAAATATATAGATTCTGACGAAATCAATAGGTGCTCTGTTAAACACTACGCGGCAAATCACCTAATTACAAATGTTAAACGTCTGGTTCAGATGTAACAAGCTATTATTGAATTTCGTTTAGAAACAAAGTATTCGAAAAGGAAAACAAATCCATCAAACACTGACCAGATAAGAATTGAAAATACTGTAATTGAGAGAACTGAGTCATTAATTGTCGAAGGCATTCTTATTTATGAGACACCTGTTTGACTGGAAGCAGGGGCGGCCGAGCGACTTCCAAAGTGGGGGGGGGGGGCACCAAGAAAAAAGGGCACTTTCTGGATAAAAAGGGCACCTCCAAAGGGAAATCTCACAGCGAAAATATACAATTTTTTAGACATTGGTATATACCCCTACATTGTAATAACAATTATCGGGGATTATTTCAATATTTGTTTCACTTTATACACCATACAAGATATTACTTTGCAGTTGGGTTTGAATTTCTAAAAAAAATTGTTTGCGAGCGAGCGAAGCGAGCGAGGAAAAATTGTAAGATGTGTGAGGTCGCAGTGCGATAAATTACATCTTACAAAGAGGAAAAACCCAATCCCAATTGGGGATATAAGCACATTCTCATAACTAAAGAGTGAAAAGACCTTTGATAAGTAACATATTAAAGTATATCATCTATAGATGCGTACGAGCGTAGCGAGCGAGCTTTGGGGGAAATTGCTCTTAGTCGCTTGAAATTAGCTAGGGCGCGTTTAATGATGAGAGGAAAGGGGGACCTTATCAAGAAAGAAAAGGAGCATGTGCCAAAGTACAAAGTACAAAGAGTAAATATCACAGGTGAAAATGGGGCACTTCTTACAGGGATGAAAAAGGTGAGTCATAAGAATAGGAAATGGGCATTTGTCGACGGAAAAGAGGCCCCCATCAGATATTGAACGGGGGATTTATGAAAAGGGGATAGGTCCCTTATTTGAAAGGAAAAGGGGCACGTGTCATTGTTAAAAGGGAATTTATCAGAGGGAAAAGAAGTAACTTCTCGTACCTGAAAAGGGTCATTTACCAGAGAAGAGGCACCTATGAAAAGGGGAAGGGGCTGTTTTTTTAATGGGGCACTTATCAGTGGGAAAAGGGGCACTTATTAGAAAGGGAAAAGGGCACATGTGAAAATACAAAGGGCACTTATCAGAGTTGAAAAGGGGAAGGGGCACTTTTACAAATTAATAGGGGCACTTGTCCAAAAGGGGCACTATTCCTATGTAAAAAGGGGCACTTCTTAAAAAGTAAAAGGGGCATTTTTCCTATGTAAAAAAGGGCACTTTTCGGGTGCTTGAAAAAGTTGGGGGCACTGTGCCCCCCTTGCCCCCCCCCCCGGAGGGCCGCCTCTGACTGGAAGTATCACATTGTTAATATCTTCTATGCTTTCAAGAAGTATAGCTGTTTTATCCAAACTCCAATCTATATTGATATACCATTTATTTTACAAAAACGTGCAATACGACTGATAAAAACGAGTGACTTTCGTAATCCCAGTCTACCGCTAAAATGTTGTTAAATAAAATATTATCTCAGAGTTTGATCTACTAAAACTTAATATGTCAGTGTTCATGAATAAGTATCACAAAGGGATACTCCAAGTATTTTTCGATAATATGTTTAGAACTAATTCTTCATTCGATACGTATCACACTCGTACACGGGATAATCTTTCTGTTCCCAATTCCCGTTCAATAAGAACCCATTTTATCCGTTTTACAGGAGTACATGAATGGAATTTAATTTGAAATAACCTTAAATCCAACTCCAAACCTTGTCGTTTTAGAACTCTATTCAAACGTAACACTTTTGAAACAATGTCGTCCTTGGTATGACTGAATAGACCCTTTCTTATCTTTGTCATTGGTGGCAGCACAGCATAGTACCATGTACTTTCGCATAAGGTGGATTCTGTGAAGCCTATTTTCAACCATAGCCTTGATTGCTGCAACATAATAAGAGAAATAAATGAGCATAAAAAGGTTAAGTAGGAGAATTTTAAAAAAAATGCAATAATCGCTTAACTATATCATTCGAGAATGCGCCAGATGAAAAGTTTTAATTCTCCAGAATTACTTAGACCAGATTTAGCCAAAAGTATGCATAGGCCTAATTATGATAGCACTTACCATTATATTTATGCATCCTTTGTTTTATTTCTATAACTTATAAGTCTTAAACTATTTATGAAATATCGCACTTAAAATAGAGACTTCTGATGCTAGCACCCATATACCCTGACGTTGTTTTTCCGGACAGGTTGTGTATCCAGACAGTTGATTTAAACCAGCAATCTGAAGAAAATTACGTGCATTCATTTATCAATCTTTTAAGACTTAAAATGTTAGACAATATCATAAAGGAAGACTTTCTACGATTGTATGGTGCAATAATTCGATTCTTCTTTTTTGTTAAAGGCAAAAGTGACTGCTTTAATTGTGTAAGCGTCCGGACACACATCCGCCATCATACAATATTTCCCAAAGCTATGATGGAGGTCGTGTGTCCATAATGAATACCAAACATAAAGTCTTCTCTTTTGCCTTGGGATTTAACGGAAAGTATTCATCAAATTGCACTAATCGTCAGGAACATTTTTCCTTGTGAAAACAAGGACCTTTAATATAAAAAGCAGTAAAAGCTATTAAAAAAATATTACTTTTTTGGGGGGGGGGGGGTGGTGCAGGGAGGGGCGATTCCCCCCTCCCTTCTCCGCAAAGCGCCGAAGCTTTGACGTTTCATTAAATTATTAGAGAAAGAAGACGATTGTTGTACCGTTCTCGAAACTTAATCCTGTTAAATGTCTCCAATTGAAACACGTTCAGCATCACTTAAAATGCATGCCAGATAGCGCGCCAAACATCATTATCATCTTCATTATCAATCATTGTTTATTCATCATAATCGCCATCATCACTATCGTCAACATCATCATCATCTTCTTTATCATTATTATCATTTTTGCAATGATCGTCATCATCGTCATCATCATCATCTTCATCCTCATCCTCATTATCCTCCTCCTTCTCATCATCATCACCATCCTCTTCCTCATCCTCATCATCATCATCCACAAGTGGTACGGGATGGAGCTGGGGGATTTTCAATTACCTAATATTAGAGTAAGCGTCTTCTCAAATATGGGCATTGTTTTCTTTGTGAGTGTTTATTATGCATGTATCTTTTATGGTTGGAATGAATGAAACGTTTTTTTTCTTCTCTTTCTTTAAATGTGTTTTGAAAAAATCGCGAATTTTGGAAACCACACCTTAAACAAAGAAATCCCAATAAAAGGTCGATCAGTGTGGAGCTTGCGTGGGAATATTATGTTGTTCTTCTTTGGTAGTTGTGCTTGTGTCTGGCGGGGTCCCTATAAAGAAGTATGGGGGGGGGGGGGGGGGGTTCCGGACCCTTTACACAAATAAAGTCACCACTTTTGCCTTTGGATTTAACGAAATGTATGCATGAAATAGCACTAGATATCAGTGGCGGATCCAGGGGGCCCCCACCCCTGGGGAAAAAAACCAGGTAAAAACACGTTAATGTTACCTTTATTTGGAGACGAGCCATTACCATATTAATGATTATGCATTTTAAGTTGTTACACAATAAAAATACAATATAAATGAAATGACCTGGTCAAATCATGTTGATTATGTAGTATCAGAGGCTATTAAACCGAATAATAGGTTTGCAAAAATTCTGTCAAGTGACTCTCTGCTGTGTTTGTACAAAAGCCTCGTTCTCCATATTATTGAATATGCATGGCCAATCGGCCTGGTTCATACATAATAGAGGACATATTGACAAAATTGAAAAGATGAAGAGACGAGCTACACGAATTTTTCTCAAACAGAGAAGACAGGAATTCTGTACGCCTCCAAACTTTAAAGTGGTACACCTTTTTTTTTTTTTTTTTTTTCTTACTTGGCTTTAATAATAAATATGTTATATCTTACCCAGTTGCACAGCGCCATCTTCAGGTAAAACTCCAGGTGAAATGAAGGATTTGAGTGCATGTATTCACTTTAAAAAATAAAAAATAATCTTTTTCATGGTGCTATATATATGTACTCAAAGCGACATTTCCCCTCTTTTTTGTTGTGGTGGGGGGGGGGGGGGGGGGGTTAATTTTTCATTTTTCATTTTTTTTTGTAATAAATTTTATCTTGTCAATGATTATGTTTGTTGATTACAAAGTGATTCGTAAATTGTTATACCTCACCATGTTATTGTTACCATTTCTGTAAAGTCAAATAGATTGGAAAAGAAGACCTGCGGGTCACAGTTATTCAGTTAATCTTTTTTCTTTTCCCGGCATCCATGTGATAAAGTTGAGCATACACCATACGGTTTTTCGTCTACCTTTTCCCCTTGTGACTATGATTAAAGTGGGACTGCACTACTTGTTCGTACTTAATTGTGCACTCTTTAAAAATGCCTAAGCGGTGCCCGTTGGTCCCCCATGGTAATATTTATATATATCTGTAAAGCGCTTTGATAGGGCCTTCCCGAAAATGCGCCATATAAGAAATAGTTATTATTATTATTATTATTATTGTCCCTTTTTTCTTATGTTAATTGAGTGCTGATTTGATGAGATAACCACCTCTCAGTGACCTTGCAGGGAGGTATAATCCCTCCTTGCTTAACTAGTGCAGACGGGCTTTAAATAGCTTTAGTCAATGGCATAACTTACAAAGCCGATCTCTGATCTCCCAGTGCGAAATTTAAATCAATGTCCCCATCAAAAATACTAAAAGGACGCCAGCTTGTGTTGGCCATGATATCGAGTACACGAGGAGCAAATAATGCTGACTAATTGTCTGGAAACAGCGTGGTGCAGAACCATCGAATCAATGGCTCTGCCCCATGCTACATGTATGAGCTACTGAGAAGCAAGACGTGGACTGTATCGGCGACTGAAGTGAAAGAAATATCGAAAATTAACTCTTCATGGTCTTTTCTTTAATTTAATGTAAACTTTCCTTACTTCTTCATTTTCCTTAAATGTATTTCTTTCCCTGATATCTACGATGGCTTATTTGTTTTTTTCATTCTCCATTTCTCTCCACTATTCAATTTTCGAATCAACTATTTGTTCGTATCTCTCAACTCTTCCGAATTGCCTTTACTCCTCATGACTATACATGTACATGCCATCTCTTTATATTTCTTCTCATCTTTTCACTCTCTGTAATATCTTTACTCTTCATTTTGTCTCCACTTTCACATCTTTGCTCTTTATTTTATTTTATTTGATTTATTTTTCCATTCAAATATTCATTTCTTATCTCCACTCCTCACATTTCATCTCTCTTCACCCGTTATATATCTTTTCAATATCACTGTTTCTTCATCTTGCATACTTCTTCACTTTCACTTTATATCTCTTCCCACCCCCTCTTTGTATATCTTCACTTCACGTATCTCCTCGCATCACATAACGATTTGAACCACTCTAAACACGGAAAAGGTATATTTTTACCACATCAAAAAACTTGCAAAACATAATTAACGTTTGAAACGTGTTTCGTTTTATTTATAATTTATCTTCATTCGAATCGAATTCAACGGAACGGATTTTCAGGTGATTCTTAAATTATACATCATAACCGCTTTATTTAGAATACTATTTAGCGATCATTTCTTTACAAACATATTTACACAACTTGAGTTCCAAGTCAAATCATCGGGTTTGCATCTCTTCTCGAAAATGGCAGACCGTCAAAGTTTTACATTATCTGGATGTTTTCTTATACATTGTACACAGAAATAAGACATAATATTTGCGAATACATTAACCGATATAAATGGTATGAACTGTCCATGAACCAACGTTGTTTGAATAAGCAAGGACTGTAATAAATAAGTTACTTAATATCATTGTACATGAGGGAAACTAGAATGAAAAGATTTCAGAAGAAAGAAAAGATGAGCCTCGATAGAAAAGCACACAGCTAAAGAAAATGCATTTAACAGTTAATCAGAGTTGTCATTATTGGCATTAAAATAAAAATGGAACACAAATTAAAATGAAATTTCCTGTTTTCTCCAATCAACTGAATACATAAAACGTTTATATATGTTTGACCAGAACCAAATGGAAATGGATAATATTTTATCCACCATTTCATCTCATAGTTATCATATATAAAAAAGTGATTGGCATGAACGCCATGGAATAATCATCTGTATCAAAGATATCTCCTGATGAATATATCAATTTCAATAAGATAATCACACACATTTGACATTCAGTTTATATGATGTACATTTAAAGGAAGTTAAAGGTGATATGATGTACTGATATAGACCTAACTTCTCTACCAAGTTCACATATATATATATATACCACTAACTAACTAGCAAATCAGTTATGTATATCATCATATAAATTGATGTGCCTCTCAAAAGGATAACATATTGGCAGTTAGTCAAGGGACAAACCTCTAGCATACACAATTGTAACAATACTTGTGCAATAATCACAAGTCTTTTTCTTGTGAATATCAAAGCATACATTCTACATTCTGAAACTACTCGTGATATAAGTTGATTGTGTGGGCCCTTGGTTCTCTTAGTACAAGTTTCCAAGCATGCAGGCAGAGATTCGTCTCTGTTTTCTCTTCTTCTAAGTTTGCTGTATCGGGCTTCATGGCTCATTTCAGTAAAAAAAAACATGTTTTGATCCCACCAAGGTGTACCGTCATATGGCAACCTATCTTCTCTGAACAGTTCTCCAATGAGAAACGCCTCATCTCTCTCTTTCCCCCATCTTGCTCTTCATACACAAGTACTTTCATGAAACCCAGATACATGTATGCTAATACATTAAAAGATAAATAACTAAGTGCACATTAAACTATACTTTCCCTTTCTTAACTAGAATCGGGACAGGTATCTGACCTCATAGAGGTAGAACGCCTGCAAACCAGTTCACACATTTCAGAAAAAAAGGCAATGATTATTGCTGCCCAAACGCCTTGCATATGAACACAAACACAGGTATGTCTACTATAAACATACACAAATAATGATGGCCATCTCTTTTTTTTCTTATCTCTTGCCAAACATTTGTCCTTACCTCTCTCCTTTTTATTTGTTTTTTTATTTTTAATATTTTTTTTGTTTTTGTTTTTTATTTTTTTACATGATTTTAACCACTTTTGTCTGCAACGGGTTCTCTTTGGCAATTGGCATTTTCCCGCACTTTCTTGGAGAAACGCCATCTTCAAAACTACTAGCTTATCTTGGTTTTCATGTTCTATTTTTCATCTTCTTTGCATGCAAAGCGCTGCCTAATGAATGCTACAGTGACGACTTCTCACTAGTAATACAAGAAAGCGTGCTATATCTCTTGGACCTATTTACAAAATAAATATCATCTATCATTTACATTTACTGCATGTCTTGTACAGCATGGTCTATCCGTCAAATAATCTCTATATTTACATACATATGACATACACATAATAGTTACATAATTACAGGCTCTTATTTACACCATCTCTCCTTATCTACATGTAAAGTTTCTTATTCACACTGTACAAGAAATGTCTTTGCATAACGTCTATAATATTATTTATATCCCCCTGACCAACGGGAAAGTGATACGAGAGATAGGAAGAGAGAAAAACTCTCATGGAATGATGTTGGAATTCACTATATCGATTTCAGAGGGAGGAAATCCAAAAGAAGTGCATCGAAAAACCAACTCCTCGTCTGCAGAATTGACAATGAGCTCATACTTGAGAAAAATGTAGCCATTTAAACGTTTGCAATGACTTGCTTAAAATTTCTCTGCATGAATGCAACTTGGAGCATCAGTATTATTTGTTTGAGGTAGAACTCATCAAAGCTACAAAGTAATATTTTGGGGCTCCTTGGTTTCATAAGAAGGATAACCCCGGCCCCTGTGTAGATGGCTAGGACATGCAGCTCAACAAGACTCCAACTACAATTGGCAAAATAGCACTCTCTTTGTTGTTGATTCAATTTAAAATTTGGCCAATAAATAAGAAGGCACACTTGATTTGGTAAACTCTATTCCAGCTTCATCAAACTGACATTCTTTTGGTGAGGGGTGGTCGGGGGATAAGCATCATTGACATAACATAGAGAAGTATCACCAATTCACCTCTCCTCTTTTCCATACAAAAATATAGCACCATTAATAAATCATATTCTCTATAGCATCTTCTCTTCCAGCTCTCCAGGCAAACATTGTCCGTTGGACTTTCTTCTTTAAACATTGGCAAGGGAATACAGCCACGACCCACGCATACGGTCCAGTTTCGTGCAGAATGTCTGCTCGATGACGAACAATTTCAGTTATGCAACTCATGCTTTCCTTTGGGTCTTTCTGCATGCAGACAGTCTGATTTCAAGAGATGATCTTTTGACCCAGTGGGCTGAGCAGCTGGTGGAAAACTGATGCGAGCTAGGTACCTAACTAAGCTTTGGTCCTAGTTGAAAGTTGACATTATGCCATTTCTTCATTGATCTGTAGGATAGGAAAGAAGAAAGAGAAAACAATTATATAAACAAATTATATTTAAATCCAACATGTGCATGTGTTAAAAATGAATAGGTCCATTTAGGCATTGAATCTATTTTGATTCTCTATTTAAAAACTATTTAAAAAGCATTAAGTGCAAGTGAGGAGCAAGTCATCTTGTACCAATTAGGAACTAAAAACTAGAAGTTCTATAACACATGTATTATCTTAGAAAATATTTGGCGATGAATATAGTTTCTTGAATTGTGAATGACAGGAAATAAAGAAAGGAACTCACCCTAACATAGGCATTTCCGTTCTTGCCAGGTTTGCCAACATTGTGATCATATTTTGTCTCGGGGTCTAATGAGAAGGTTTCTTCAGTCGTCTTTCTGTATACCGGGTTGTCAAAGTTCATTGTCCTCTTCTTGCGGTTGGAGTGCCTCCTGAAATCACACAAGAAAACACATTGTTAAATAATAAGTCAATGGAAACAAAATGTCTAAATGTATCTGATTCATTGAGTAATCATACCAGAGATGCTACTATTAAGAAATTTCATTAGTTCAAGTCATTAGCTGCAATTCAAATTTTACTTATGCATTCACATACATCATGAAAAATGGGTTCATTGAGTAATCCTATTCAAGTTGTTTTTATATGTACTACAGGATCATCACTACACTTTATGTAATAAGAATAGTAAAATGACGCTCAACTCACTTGTAGAGTACAAAGAAGATGATGAAGACGAAGAGAAGTAGTATAAGGATGATACCGATGACAACGGCTACTATCATGTGGGTATTGGCCATTGGACTAGATGTAACCACATTTACTCCTCCTGTGGTGAGTGGCGCGGCAATCGTCGTTGTCTCCTCGACTATCTTTGGTGTAGTAGCCATGGTAGGCTTAGTGGGTTTGACGGGAGGTAGGGTGGTGGTGGGTGGAAGGGCTGTGGAAGGCACAGAAGGTTGAGGGACACTTGGGTTTGGCTCATCTCCTTCACAGGTGTGTCCATCAGCGGTGAGCGATACACCAACAGGGCAGAGACACGAGTAGTCAGCAGGACCATCAACCTGAGGAGAAGCCACGCACAGGTAGGAACACATTCCATTGTCAGTGGCACATGGCACTTCTCCTGCAGCTGTTGGTAAACAAAGAACAGAGTGCCACATAAATTACAAATCGATTCAAATGTGTTTGTGTTGAGTCATTATTTAAAAAAAAAAAACTAAATGAAAAATACATTTTAACAAGAAAAAAAAATAATGCCTCCGGCTACTTTGTAGCGGAGGCATAAAAATCGCTCAGAAGTTTGCAGTGGTAATATTTAATAGCTGCAAGTACAATATGAATTCATGAAAGAGGAAATAATACTTACAAGGAGCCTGTCGGAGAGGATTAACAACGATGACATCCATGGCATCTGATACTCCAGAGAGGATAGTTGTCTGGTTAGAGCCAGTGAACTTGTCAGCGCGTTCGATACTCTCCTTGGTCCAGTCCGTCCAGTAGATGTAATCTTCAAAGACAGCAATGCTGAATGGATGGGAGATACGACCTTGTCCAGCCACTACCACTCGCCGATTTCCACCCATGAAATCCACACAACTGATGCTGCTTTCCTTGGCGTCGATCCAGTAGAGCATATCAAGAGTGTAGTCCAGGGTCAATCCGTTGGGCCAAGACACGCCCTCGGTCACAATGGCGGTGCGTCCTTGTCCGTTCATGCCAGCACGCTCGATCACCCCTAGTCCCCAGTCGCTCCAGAACATGAGACCAGACTCTGGGTCCACAGCGATTGCTCGGGGCTCGTCAAGGTTGCTGGAGATCAGAACGGTGTGCCGGGTGCCTTCAAAGTTGGACACAACGATGTTGTCGACGCCAGTGTCGGTCCAGTATAGGAGCTTGTTGATCCAGTCCACAGCAATGCCATCGGGAGTCTTCACTTTGTCAGTCACAACCACAGGTACTACTTCATTCTCTGCTTGCAGCTGGGTTCTGTAATGAAGTCGAATATGGAGTAATAATCACTGTCATCGAACCACATCAAGTCGTGTCAAATCCTTTTTCATAACGTTATTTATATTAACCTTTTCAAAAAGGACATTGCAAGCTATTTACATTACCAATGTAACTTTAATCATAACATACTGCATCTAATATCAATCAATGCCTCATATGAAGTTATATCTCGTCTGCTAAAATTCAAATAATTACTTCATTCAACCACATCTGCTTCTTGCCATTATTGATAATTTTTACTGATCCTTAAGAATCCTTTAAGACCTTCATATTAAACATAGGTATTGCAGAAAACGTAATTATCCTTTACTTACTTGGACACTACTTCCAGTCCGACATCCGTCCAGAAGACGGTATTCGATGCTGAATCAAATTCAACAGCCACGGCACTGTGGAGGGACCTCTTGATGTAATCTTCAGAAGATGTACTAGGGTCAAAGATGCGAATGTCATGTCGGTTGGCAATGAGAAGCTTTGGGGCACCAAACTCTGGATTGGCCTTGCAGTGCCCACGGTCGTTGACATTCTCCAGGGTATAGTTCTCATCACAGTCACACTTGTATGATCCTGGAAGGTTGTAGCATCGTTGACTGCAGATACCTAGTGTGGTCTTGCATTCGTTGATGTCCACACACTGTGTCTCATTCACAAGAGTGTAGCCTGCATTGCATGTGCACACATGGCCGATGGCAAGGTCGAGACATGTATGGCTGCAGCCACCGTTGTTTGTCAAGCATTCATTCCTCCCTACAAAGAAACAAAATATAAAAAACGGGTAAGCCTCGATTTAAAATTAAATTGCCAATAGTCTACCTCAAACCCTCCATAATTTTTTTTCATTTTCTTTCAACTTTTTAAAATTTCAAATGGGGAATTATGGAATGATATGATGACTGAATAACAAGTTAAGTGCGCAGTGGTGTATAATGAAGTATAGTTACAATATCCATTTCAATTACTCACCACATATTTCGTGTCCTGGTTCATCCTCGTTGTTTGGGCATTCAGGGATGCCGTTACACACACGTACCATTGGCAGACAGGTAGAGTTGGAACACTTGAAGTGAGTGGTTGGATTACACTCTGCAGGCGCTGTGTAGGAAGATCAAAATGGTATTTAACTTCATGGAAAACTAAAGATTCTGCCCTGGTCCTATATAACCCTGATTGTGATTAATGAGAAAAGCGAAATGAGACATTTATTTACCATTCAGCTGTTAACATATTCCATGATTTTGCATTATTCATTTTTATATCCACCTCGGTAGAGGTCGGTCCTAATCTTATCTAAGAATCAATCTGCATTCAATAGACAGTGCAAGATACAACATATTCCCCAACAACAATTTTTATAACCATGAATAATGTATAAGAAGGCATGCTGTTACTCACCATTACAGTTTGCTTCATCACTACCATCAGCACACTGCTGGGTACCATCACATTCCACATCTCCTGGAATACAAACACCGTTGTCACATTGGTATTCGTTGGCAGCACAGGGGCTCGGCGTAACAAGTGCTGTCAGGGGGAAAAACAAATTAAACTTGATTAATTCAAGTCTCTTGAGGAAGACTTTCATTTTTCATTATATGCAAATTATTTCATTTTTCATTGGTTCTGGAATAAAACTATTCTACAGTTTTTATTTAGATTCCTACAAAAAATGACATTTAATTAATTTTTTTTTAAATAGAAAGATACAAGAGAGTCAACTTACGACAAGAATCTTCATCTGATCCATCGAAACAGTCCCTCTCTCCATCACACTTCCATGAATTATGGACACACTCGCCACTGGTACATTGGAAATGTCCTGCAGAACATGGCACAGTAGGACCTGAGCAGTGGGTGCTTGACTCGTCAGATCCATCGCGGCAATCAATGTCCCCATCACACTTCCATCTGTTGGGGATGCAGGTGGTTTCGTTGTGGCCTGTGCACTCAAACTCGTCTGGGGCGCATGTTAGACTGGGGCAGTTGATCTCATCTGAACCATCTCCACAATCGTTGTCTCCATCGCAGACCCAACGAGTTGTAACGCATTTCTTGTTGTTGCAGGTGAATTGGTTTGACGCACATGTCAAAGCATCTATTAAGATAAACAGAAGGGGAAAAAATTGTTAATAAAACATCTTTCATTAAGAAATTAATTTAAAAATTATGCAGTTTTTCCCAAACCTGATGTATATGTTGCCCTTTAATATCTGAACTGTTCAAACCACATTATTTTCTTCTGTTTAACAACAATTTTTAAAGGCAAAAGAAATATGAATGTTTGAACAAGCTACTAAAACAAAATATAAAAAGCACAAAAAGTCAGGATTCGCTTTATAACTAAAAAGTCATTATGAGATAGAGACCTATATGAGATAGAGACCTACCGCAGTTGTGCTCATCAGCTCCAGATGGGCAATCTACATCACGATCACATCTCCATGTCAGGGGAATACAGTTCTTACCAGGACCACAGCTGAACTGGCTAGGAGAGCAGGTTAGGGTCTCTGTTCAGAGAAGAAGAAAAAATGCAACGGTTAAGGAACAATCCACATAAAAATCATAATACCACATGTCACTAAGAATCACTTTAAGTAAAGAAATAGAGAGGGAGGGGGAGGATGTAGCCCACATCTCAATCTCAAATCGGCTAAAGCCCCACAGCATTAAAGACACATGGCTATTGATCTACCCATGGCTTTAAAACAAGTGTAAACAATTACACTACATGTAGTCATTTCTTTTTTATCTTTAGTTTTTGTTTAGAATTTCACAATTCAGCATGCTGAGAAAAGTTCATTTGAAGAGCTGAAAGGTTTCCCACAGAGTTTGTCTCAACGACCTGATTATCTGTGATCAATGTGGCTTCCCCTATACAATGTAAATAAAGAATAGAGACCAGTGTAAAGACCCTCTTCTTGGAACTAGACCACCATGATGATTAAGCATTAGGCAACCATACTATTCTGGTGTTTTCTAAAGCTGGCAACTTATCATTCACAAGATGTAAACCCTCATTGGATGTACTAATGGAGTTTGAAGATTAACCTTACATGAGAACAAAAGGTATTAAGAGCTGCTTTGAGATTGCTCAATGAGCCAAAGTAAATTTAATAATGAAGGCTTATCATCAAAAGTGGTGTGGAATGACTAAGTAGACCATACATGTAGGGGTCATGTAAAACAAAAGGTGGATTAACTGCATGGAGTAAGCAGTAACTATCCTTAGAAGACCATCATCCATTGATTTACAAGGAAGCATGCTACAATGCTTGTTTTAATATTCGTTTTTGTTTAGACTACATGAGGGGAAAACAAAGTTGGAGCAGGACATGAACAAGCTATATATAAATATAGCCAAAGCTTTACTTTGAAATCCTAGGCCAGCGCACTCAACAGCTTCCTGCCATATTATACACCAGACAGTGCATTTCCACACATATTCAGACAGGTTAATGCACAATTAATGGAAATTGTTCATGCAAGAAACTACACCCTACAGGGAAATCTGTTGATTGGACGGGCACTGTGTGGTACATGCACAAGAGAGGCATTCATGTAGAACACTACTAGTCGCTACCAGATTTCTATGACAATACCAAACCCTCCTTTATTCTGCTTCTCCTCTATTGTTAGGTTTAGTCCTATTGATCCAAGAGGCCCCATTTGCCTGGTCTTTTGTGCCATTTCCAAGAGAAAACCAAAAACTGCAAATTTGGGGTGCAATCGTGCGTGCACAAACCTGCAGTACATGCACTCCCCATATTGTATTAGGACCACATGTTTGCTTGGTTTCAAGTGCATGCATGAAGTGCAAAGATTCCTTTCCTCTTGTTGTAGATAACTTTGATAAGACTATGAGAATGTGAGGTCTCTGTTTACATTTCAAAGGTTATGTTTGTATTTGCGTTGTGTGTGAGCCAAGGAGGAGGAAACTATTATGGATTATTGGTTAATCTACAAGATGACGCAATCTTGCAATTTCAATTTATTTTACCATTAAAAACTTTATAAATATGTACAAGTACATAAAAACAAATTGGAGGGACTCGTAACAAAGCAAAGCCTACAAGGAAGGGCCTTGTACAAATATAATGGAATACATGAAATTACAATGTTTACATAAATATTTGATCCTTGTAAGAGTTGAACTGCTTTAAAATAGTAATGTATGATAATCTCATCTTATTTCTAGACACAAAACACACTTTTAGCCAGTTACGTGTACATTAATCAGGTCTTAAATTCTACTGAGGAAGGGAATATAATAACAGCAGTGATAGAGTTTAAAAAGCTGGGGCATGTAGGGTCACAGTGTATTCTATGCAAATCATCCATGTCTAGTTCATATACACAATCAGAGATTTATGAGGATATTTATGGCCATCACCCAAGAGATGCTGATGTTCGGGTTCAAGAAACTCCTTTGAGAATCGTCATACCTCATTCTATCTTCACCTCAGGTATAGCTCAGTTTCAAAATGAGTCCACCATTCTTTTCTATGAAAAAGTGATTACTAAGAATTCAAATATGCTGGCATGGTATTTACTAATAAATGCCAAACATTTCTGACATGCATGAACTTCTTGAAATAGAATTATGTGCCAACTCATTATTTGTTACGACTTTCACATTGCTGTTTCAGAGAAAAAGGTTTACTTACGACAGGCAATTTCATCTGATCCGTCTGGGCAGTCGCTGTCACCATCACAGCGCCATCTTGCTGGAATACATGTTGAGCCTCCGTTACCTGCTCCTGAACCAACGCATTCAAACTCTGCAGAGCTACATGTCAGTTGGCCTACAGTAAAATAAAAGGAAACAAATGAAATTATATTTAAAACCATTATTTGTCATCTTCTTTACAGAACAAGATAGTCAGAGATATCGTAAAGTAAGTAAATCATTTTGTGTTACCTTTTAGGCTCCTCAATGTGTATTGTGTTGTTATTATATTTTGGTGTACGTAACATCATTGGCAAAGATTCAAATGACAAACTAAACAATCAATTGACAAAAAGAGGACTTCAGTGGAATCACTTCAAGAGTAATCAAGATCTTGAAGATCAAGATATCAAAACCTGAGCAAAATTGGTGACCAAGATTAAACATTGCTACAGATAACTGCTCACTCCTGGCATAATGCCCACAAATGTAGGAAGACTTTTTTTTTTATTATGAAACACAGACTCAGATATGAAAATATTGTGGCTTGTACATCCAACAATTAATCTATAAAATTTGCATTCCAATTAAATGAAATACATTTGTAACATGTCACTCAACAAAGTTTTATGCACTGAATTTCCATAGACTAATGTAGTCTAATATTTAATACTTTAGTACATTTAATAGAAAATGGTCAACTGCAAAAAAGGAAAAGATTAATTTAGACATCATCAATACTTCATTTTCCTGGCCTTGACAGTCATCAGAACATATGATCATCTACCAATGTTTAACTCAACATTTCCTTTCCTTCATTCACTATATCCTAATCCATTGTCTTGGCAATTAGCAATCATTTCCTCATTGTTTTGTTCCATTTTCAGAGCATCATCCAGACATTGACTCTTGAGACAAATCCACCACTCTACCCCACTCCATCATTCCTCCACTATCAGTATACAATGCAATTCAATCTCTCACCCCAAATTCACCAAGATATATAATTCATCTCTGATTCAAATAGTGAAATACATCAGGTCACACTCAGTACTCTCATTCACCCTCTTATTCATTTTCACTTACCGGGTCCACGCCACGGAGATCTACGCCCCGACAGAGAGGCATTTACAAGGGCGGGAACCAAAAACACTATTGCAAGCAGAAGGCGATTCATGTTTTTTCCTGACTTTAATCAGTCAACATAAATCGGTAAATGAAGCAGCAATACTAAAACAAGACTTCTTTTGAAATATCTTCTCAAATTCTTCAGTAAATGATCCACTTTCAGAGAATTTTCTTCAAGCTGAGCAGTGTAGTTACACCCAATTTCGTGAGAGAAACGCAAAACGCACCTAATGAGTACACTGCACTACAGTCAAGATTCAGAACCTAAGTGCATGTGCATTTGGATAATACTACGAGGCGTTGACGGTTGGTTGCGATACACACACGGCATAAACACACACACAAGGCATAAACATACACAGAAGCACACACGCTCATTGTAAACGCCTATTGTACGTTGGTATGCGAGAGGGGTCATAGTTGATGGGTAGACGCTGTGATTGGCTAAGAGGATGGGACCACACTATCGGCTAACTTATAGCATCTTGCGGGTACACATTGACTATGGCCGTATGAATAACCTCTGCTCTACTTTTCTCCCGTTGGAACTCTTATTAATTTTCCCCATCGTTGATGATATGGTATGCACGCATAATATCCAATATCATCGTTATTTTGAGGGCAAATGTACATAAAATATGGTCACCTGAAAAAACGTTGAAGTTATCTGACCTACGGCTATGCAAGAAAGCCGGTAAAAAGAATTTAGCCCATTCCTCCCGTATCAAGTATCATATCCTTATCAATGCAACGAGCACACAGTGTTGCCACGCCCCTGACGAAAATAAACAATAATATTGTAGTAGTATGATATACAGTAGAAAACTACAATTTATTGTGACTAGCTTGTAGTAGGGAAAACATTAAACTGACAAATATCGAGTTTTAAAGCGTTTAATTATGGTTACAGTTTACTCTTGATTACCACATGTTTTGGTCTAATAATACAGTAGATACAAAACAGTTAAAATATTATTATCTATTTACTTTAAACAAAATCCTACTTTACAAATTTCCCACGCACTTAAACCTAAACCATGGCGGGTTTCACTAAGTAGGTTTATGCAACGGAAAAAGACGATTTTCCCTATCTAGCTAGTTTTACATTTATATTAGTACAAATATGTGACCTTAGTATGAACCGGGCAAACCCGTTTTTGGGGGGTGGCAGCAAAGCAAAATACAGTACTTCCGCATGAGGTGGATTCTTTGAAGCCTATTTTCCACAATTGGAAAACTAGATATATATTGTCTGGCAGCGGTGCTCCTTATCACTTTTATCAGGTCATATTTTGGCTCATAAATTAGAAATCCATTTTGTTATAAGACTTACACAAGTCAGATCACTATCACATATTTATCTGAAAGCATTTGTTTGGTTACGACCCGCAATTCTCTCGTAACACTTGAGGCAGTGTGTTGATAAAACTGTTCGAGCGCTCTCTGTTGGTAGAGATCATACAACAATATCTGGCGCTCAAGTCTCCATCGCATCCCACACACACGGCTGTTTCAATACACATCATTTTACATATTGTAATTTGTATACAACCGGTCCATTATACAACCATGGATGATACAACAGTTTTACATCACATGAAGGGGTCTACGTTGAACTTATGAACTACAGGCGACTACCATCTAATGGAAACGACTCTCTTGTCTACAGTCTAGCTGATCTTTCTACGTCTTAGTTTTAACTTTTGCTGTCACGACTTTAATTCGGTAGGATACATTATTCATATGGGTCATTGTTGATCAAACTAATCTAACACATAAAAAAAACCATGACAAAACCTGTGTTTTAATTCCTATAGGCTAGACCTACGCTATCGCTTTTGCCTTTAGTTTTAGTATGAAATAAAATCATATAGATATTGTGTCTCGCTATAATTTAAAAAGATTCCCATCTTTTATTTGAAAGTAAACCTAGGCTAGGCTTCTACGATACCCATACAAATTAACAACATATCAGTAGACCCTATAATAACAACCATGATGGATACCGCAACAGCATTCCAGAGTACAGAACTCGTGTAACTTGATGTTAAAATAAACTTAAGCATGTAAACTATAAACTTTCTCTAGGCCTACACTAGAAAAGGCAATACAATTACAAAAAAAGCTTCAATCATACAAACTGGGAAAATAGAATAGACCCCTAGAAATCTAGATCTAGATCTAGTTAAGAATTAATTACCAAGAGAGAAAATGAGAATTGAAATTTCTGTAAAATGCTGTATTGCAATACGGCTGAAAACAGCCAAAATATGACAATTTATGATATTTCAACATCCATAAGGCATAACAATAACATGTCATGAGGATTATTATTAAGGCGCAGTGAAGTCGAACAGGGGAAAAGGCACAAGTCTTGAAAGCAATTCTTTAAAAAATGGTTGAGAGAATGAGAGGAGAAAGTAGAAATTCCAAAAATAGTTTACTACGATTCTTACAATCTCAAGCTGAAATGATTAATTCAATTTATGACTATTAGGACCTTTTCATTCCATATAATATATCAAAATTACAACCAAAAAAATATACTTTGGCGAAAAACTGAATCAAAATACGCCGGTACCGGTCGGGATTTCTTAGTTAGAGTTGGAGTTTGATATTAGAGTTAGAATTGGGATCTAGATAGAAAATATTCAAATATCATAGCCTGTATTCTGTAAATATACATATTTAAAAACTTATGGCATTGCCATTTGATAAATACCGAGATATTTTTAACCAAAACGTATGGAGTGGCTGTTTTATCATAGCACGCAGGCATATTATGGGAACATGGGAGAAACACGCTCTTACTACACACATGACACACCTTCTGTTCGCTTGTTTTGATTCGTCATCAACTCGGGGTCAGTCGATCACCAGATTGCTGCTAACCAATCACAACCCGCCGCATAATGAGCCCCATGCGGTATTCATAAAAGGAATAACGGCATGCAAATCAGCACACGTCAGAACTCTAGACAACCAATCAGAGGGCTCCATTGGGCACAACGCCCATCATTTACGGACACTACCCACAACACACACACACAACATACTACCACGCGTTCTCTCGAGACAAAAATGCCGGTAAAATCTTGTACAGTTAGCAATTTTACACACCACTTACTACGGATAAATACATCAATATCTTTTGTCAAAATAATATCAATTATGTTATTATTTAATTCATAAGACACTGAAGAAAGAGATAGTCATCTTCGTTTTAAGTAAATCGGGTTAGATTAAAGAAAAGATGGAAAATAGAAGTGGCAAGTCAGACTTCTGTCGGCCAATGTTTACATTCACAAACATGTGCGTTTGTACGAGGATATGGACAACTCCGACAAGGTTTCGAGATCGCCTTTTCAACATGTCCAATAGGCTACAATTTATACAATGCTTTATGAACAGGTAAAATAAATAATGAATTAAGTTTTTTGTCAAACTTACCACACACTGTCTCATCGGAATTGTCTCCACAGTCGTCTTCATTGTCGCACTTCCATACACTTGGGATGCACTTGTTGTTGTCGCATCGGAACTGATTTTCTCCACACAGATTTCCTACAAAGAGACAAAACAGAAAGTCATAGAAAAAAAATCATTATGAAATACTCAAACTAAAATCTTGAATATTAGGTCAATCGTTTAAATGAACCGTTTGCTCAGTGATGATGGTCTGACTCCATCTTTCGACTGTGGGATCCTGCGAATACTCCGTCGCCGTCGCATCGGATTTCACTGAACTGCTGAATGTGACTTGTGAGAGAGAATTGGAACAGCCTATTTTTAGGCATGATTTTCTACCCTAAATTTATCGTAATGCAATTCATTACATTGTTAAGATTACTAACATGGTTCTAGAACTTTACAGATACTCAATTTGAAAAAATGTTATGAAAATTAACTGATTATGTAGGCCTTGATCTACATCTAAACAGATCCAGACCAAGTTGCAAAGAAGATGAAGATTGTGAAATGAAACTCACCGTTCACGGCCGAAAATACACAGGCTAACAATCCCAACAGGATCAGACTTAGCGTGTACGTTCCCATTATATCCACGTATGTTCTCTTGATTGTTGATACTCTTGTAATATAGCTCCAATGGTGTAATACACTTTTACAGTAGAAAGAAGATGCTAAATTTTGAAATCTTGCTTATCTCGATCAAGAGAGTATAGAAAAGTCGTCCGCTCGCTTTGAAGTTATTTGCTGAATCTGCCGGTTGAATTCACTGATGGCCGCGTGCGCGATATGCCGGTCTTTTTTTTGACACACACACAGTACACAGAACACTGTTGTATATAACAACGATGTGTGTGTGTATGCGCTACTACGAACATGACGTCATCAGAAGTGAATGAATATAATACGCGGGTGCATAATTTGGAAACGTGCCAATTCCGGGGGTGCCACTATTGTAAATCTGCCGGGATCACTTCTGAGAAGAAAAAAAATCCACTCTTCGTATGATTTGTTTTGTCCTTCTTTTGCATACTTCTTCTTCTTCGTTTGGTATTATAATGGCTATTAACGCTTCAAAACCCCGTTCAAAACATATAACCAATTGTTTAAAACTTATTTGATCATCTTTTTTCCCTCTTTTTATTCATGGAGGTTAGCGAACATGAAATTACATTGATTTAATTTGTTGATACCAACTATAAACTCAGTGTATATTGCAATGACTGGGTCAGTTAACAATGCAAATCAAGAAACAAAGAAAAAAACTTCAGGGAACTGACAGGAAAAGAAAGAACAATTATCTGGTCGCTCAGTTTATTATATCCAAAAACATTTAGTGAAACAGTTCCACTTTAAAATAGTTTGCCCCCCCCCACCCCCCCCCCCAAAAAAAAAAATTTAAAAATAATTTAACAACACTCAAAGGGAAATTCAACCTCGGATAGAAAACTACTCTCATAATAGAAAGTAGAAAAGTTAGAGAAGCATTAAATGAACGATCAAAGGGCAAATCGGAGAAAAAAGGTTATACATTTTTTTTTTTTTTTGGGGGGGGGTCTAAAGTTTGAAAGACTAGAGACATCTACTACTGAGGGGCACGGTACAGGGTTGATCAGGCCCCCAATAATGCTGTTTTTGTAATGTGCAGTACTCACAATATTCATTCGTAACTATGAGCCTATTCCTCCTCTTATAGGCCTATTAAAACAATAATTACAATAATTCTCGTAATTTTTAATCCGAATAAGTGGTTGTTACTATGATATACAAGAAAAGTACCGTGAGCAGACACTAAAAATACTTTATCAAAACTGAATTTCCCAGGTGGCCGTGGACCACTGTATCATACATTATTTTGGAATCTACTGCTTGATTGATAGGGTGTAGCGCCCCCGGTTTTCCAGTCCATGTGATGTGGCGAAAATCCGGAGCTCGTTCGATTGCCTCGTTTGCATGATATGCCGGTCTGTCCCAAGTCCCTGGTGGGTGGATGGATGGATACATTACTTATTGCATTCCCAATCTAGCTCCAGCGGCCTGGTGATCGCGTCACTTTCCTTTGCCAACTACTCATCATAATATAAGACATCTACATCACGAACAAAAATGGGCACTGCCGTGAGTATGGCCGACTCCAAGCCATTTCACTTCACAGAGGGGTAAAGATCGCAGACGTAACAGCCGTCAATGACCACCATTTCATTTAGCTAGCGGCCGTGCATTGTACAAACGGCATACATTATATCGATGAATAAAATCAGGCGCTATACCACATATTTATGCATATGTTTCATCTTGAATTTGAAATTAATATTTCCAAGATTATTTCATGTGACGAAAAGGCAATGACGATATCAAGCGAAACATAGACATCCCCTAAATATAAATATAACTGAAGTACGCTAGCGCTATCGGACGAAAAAAAAAAAGAAAGATAGAAACTAAGAGAGAAAATCAAAGAACGGTTTGTGTGTTAAAACGTACTGCTATAAAATCAAATTAAGGGGAAAAAATTAATAAGTTTTGTATGCTCTAGATTTTGAAGAAAATAAATAAGCATAACCCTGGATGCGCCCGCTGCTGAGTTGTTTACGTTAGTTTGTTTACAAACAAAGCGGGCTATCGGAACTTCTCGCGATCGTACGATGTTGGGAGTGGGTGTATACCTTCACTGCATTCCAATGAATCATGTTCTTTTATAGAACATGCTGGGAAAGGAAAATAGATGCAGGTACAAAGTAGAAAAATGAAGGAGGGCGTGGATTCTCAATTTGACTGCGAAATAGGATTACCAAAAAAAAAAAACATGTATATAGGCGGGCCCCATATACTGTCTAAACATGGACCTATGGCCTAAATTATTGTAATTTCTATGAAAGTGGAAAATGCACCCTTTTTTTTTTAGTCATGATGTTAGTGATCATTTAAAAAAAAAAATTAGAATTCAAATTAAATCTGAGTGGAATCCACTAGGTCGGAGTATTTTCAACACCAAAAAAAAAACGATGATGATGATGATGGTGATGATGCATGATGAGGATGATGGTTTCCGTTAAAAACAATTTGTGAGCAAATTATTTTTGTTAAAACTGCGAATGATTCGATGCATGCATGTAACATAATAATTAACAACAACAAAGTAATAATAATAATTAAGCTTTTGACCAATCATGGGTACTCAGTCATTTATCTACTCATGAACTCTTAATTTCAAAGGGAAAATGTAAATATAATGGGCCATGCATGTATATATCATAATATAGGCCTAAAATATTATTCTGTGAATGTGTTTGTGCCTGATCATATTTAATGCGAGAGAGTGTTGTTTTTAATATCAAATTTGTACATAGTTCTTAAAGCCCCAGTCCCATATAAAGCCGGACCAGCACGGACGAGCACGGACCACTCCGGACCATCCCGGACCATGGTCTGGGGTGATCCGGGATGGTCCGGGATGTTTTGTTAAAAAAGTGTGATGCTTTAAAAGCTACAGTCCCATATACGTCCCGGACCGTCCCGGACCATCCCGGACCCCATCCGGGGTGATCCGGGATTCGGTCCGTGTTGACACCGTGTTGGCACCGGGGTGGTCCTGGATGGTCCTGGGCGGTCAATAACTCACTCCCGGACTGCCACGGATCAACACGGACCGCCCCGGCGCCACTACAGATGACCCCAGACCCAGCACGGTGGCTACACGGATCACCCCGGATCAAACTTTTGTCCCGGACCGTCCCGGACCACCCCGGCAGTTTTTGACCGTCAAAAACATCCGGGGTCGACTCCCGGACCGCCCAGGACCATCCAGGACCATCCAGGACCACCCCGGTGCCAACACGGTGTCAACACGGACCGAATCCCGGATCACCCCGGATGGGGTCCGGGATGGTCCGGGACGGTCCGGGACGTTAGCTGCTACAGTCCCATATACGTCCCGGAACGTCCCGGACCATCCCGGACCCCATCCGGGGTGATCCGGGATTCGGTCCGTGTTGACACCGTGTTGGCTCCGGGGTGGTCCTGGATGGTCCTGGATGGTCCTGGATGGTCCTGGATGGTCCTGGGCGGTCCGGGAGTCGACCCCGGATGTTTTTGACGGTCAAAAACTGCCGGGGTGGTCCGGGACGGTCCGGGACAATAGTTTGATCCGGGGTGATCCGTGTAGCCACCGTGCTGGGTCCGGGGTCATCCGTAGTGGCGCCGGGGCGGTCCGTGTTGATCCGTGGCAGTCCGGGAGTGAGTTATTGACCGCCCAGGACCATCCAGGACCATCCAGGACCATCCAGGACCACCCCGGTGCCAACACGGTGTCAACACGGACCGAATCCCGGATCACCCCGGATGGGGTCCGGGATGGTCCGGGACGTTCCGGGATGTATATGGGACTGTAGCTTTTAAAGCATCACACTTTTTTTTAACAAAACATCCCGGACCATCCCGGATCACCCTAGACCATGGTCCGGGATGGTCCGGAGTGGTCCGTGCTCGTCCGTGCTGGTCCGGCTTTATATGGGACTGGGGCTTAATGCCTTCTCCGCATTCCAGCTTGATTGCAACGGTTCATGTGTAAAGTGTAATGTTAATCTGCTCATCATGTGTAAAAGAAGCACTAAACCCATATTACGTAATCAATCTTTTATGCCCCATCTCGTACCATTCGCGTCGTTGGGGGAATGAACCCAGTGAGCAGCCGTACGGAAGAAGAATGCTCGTCGATATAATAAACGATCTTTGTGTAACCATGGACCTACTATACTTCTTGGTAGGTCCATGGTGTAACCAAACATACCTGTGGTTTTTCTCTTGTCTCTCTTTCGATTTAAAAAAGGTTCTGAAAAGAAAGAAAAAAGGTTCAAACGGTCCTGCTGATAGGAGGTGTGCGCCCTGATAACCTTGCTACTCCAAAAATCCCCATACTACAAATTCAAATTCAAATTGTATTGATTTCAATCTAAACAGATAGGATCATTCTCAAGTATAGCGCTTAGAGACTTCGGTGGTAAGAGTTTATAAGTAACGTTTTTTTTTAAATTATTATTATTATTAAGTTGCTGTTATATACATTGGGTAACTCATTTCAAAATTATAATGTAACATTACTGTTTGTAACAGAAAAGATAAACAATAACTAGGAATGACACAAGTTTCTTCTGAAATATAATACAGGGATGGAATAATTATTGTATTATACTCGTAATTTTTTTTATACAACAGAATGTGCAGTTCGATTCTATCTGACAAATAAATTGGCAAATGGGGGGGGGGGGGGGGTCATAATACGCAACAAAATTAATGTTGGGACTGAAAAATTAATTTTGTTTTATATAGAGAAGTCTGTTTATTTTTTATTTTTTCTCAATTTGCAGGTAAGGTAATATGCCTACGTGGATGCAGATATGTCACGGATCAATGTAATAATAATTGCTGCTATTATTGTGTATAATCATGTGTATAATAATATACTTGGCCTGTTTTGGCGTGGTTCTATTTCTTTATCTTTCTAAAATACATGACGTTATAACTTCCTTCTGTTATTATGCAAGTTCAGCAAAAGAATTCAGCGAAAAAAAATCTGTTACGGTTATATACTCGATCCCCGACGTTAATCTTCAAACACCGGTATTATGGACCCTTTTAAATTCTGTTCGTAAACTTGAAAAGCTTTTTATCCATTGTTGATTTAACGAACCACCTAATTACCGAAGTTCAATACCCTCTTAGGCTTAATTCACTTATCGACAGCTAAAGCTCGGCTTAAGAT